AGGTTGAACTCAAGATGAGGTGTTTCTTCGGCGGCATGTGCAACAAATCGGAGAAGGCGAGGTAAATAGACTGAGGGCACGGACCGAACCACATGGGGAATATCTGACGGAGGGATCGCTTCATATACGACACGAAGTAGCTTTTGTTCATTCAATCGGAAGGCCATGATAAGAGCTTTGAGGAAGGTGTTATCCTCATCCACAGTGTCGGATATAGCGGCTTCCTTGGCAGCATCTAGTGTGGCAAGGATGCTTGATGGTGTGATCGTGATGTCCAGATCGTAGGGATCAAAGATGAAATCAGTATCCAAGCTGTAAACAAGAAGTCCTTCGGTAGAAGCGGCACAGAATGCTCGTCCAGTCGGTGCGAAATCCACACATGTCACGCGGACTTCTGGGCGTGTGGTGCGCGCACCGGCATCACCACGTCTGGCGCCAGGGAGAGTGGTATCAACACGTTCGTCGTGATCAGAGGCTTCACCGGTCTCGTCAATAAGAGCACGGGGACCGGCCTCAGTCATGTCACGACTGTTCAGGAACTCCTGGGTGCCGTCAATCGAGGTGTTGACGGAGACAGTGAACTTCTTGATCAATGACCCGGTTCCAACATCATACAAGCAGATAAACTTGCTGTTGCCGCCGGCCAAAATGCAGCTACCGTCTGCACTGTATGTGATTCGGTTGAAAGACTTGGTGCCTGCGGCATTGGCAGCAGTACGGCGGTCGGCCACCCGGCGTCCTCCAGAGACGTCACGGCGACCGTCAACTCCTCCTTGCTGCACAGCATCCTCAACAGACCAGAAGGAAAGCTGACCGTCTAGGGTAGAGGCGGCCACTTGTTGCCCATCTGGGCGGAAAGCCACACTGAGGATATCTGACATGAGCTGGAGAGGTTCACTGGTCTGTGACCGGCCGAATATGCTCCAAATGCGAACTGTGTGGTCCCAACTTCCACTGACAAGGTGGTTGCCATCGGCAGCGAAAGCAAGACTGGAAACCGGACCCTCGTGGCCAGAGAGCTGGTCAAGCAATTGACCGGTCTGCACGGACCATACGTGAATGTCGAAGGAGTCTGGTGAACCGGCACAGATAACTTCTCCACTGGGGTCCACGGCCAAAGAGGAGAACGACACTCGGGATGGTGCTGTGAAGGTTCGGAAGTTACGGTAGCGAATAAGATCCCATGCACGGACAGAGCCGTCCAAAGACGCTGTGAACAAGACACTTCCCTTCTTGGCAAACTGACATGCGGTCACTCCACTGGTGTGTTCGGTAAAAGTGACTATGCAGAAGCCTGACTTGACATCCCAAACCTTGATTTTACCGTCATCGGCGGCCGTGACAATTCTCTGACCGTCCGGTGAATATGCGAGGGCGTTCATAGAATCGAGGTGCCCTTGTTGTTTGAGGATATATGACTCGGACTGCCATTCCCACACCAGCAACTGACCGTGCTTGGACGATCCGAATGCTAGCCACTCGCCTGATTTGTTGATTGTCACAACATCGATATTGCTCTGGGAGACACTAGAGGGGGATATGTTAGACGCTGTGGAAGGGAGGGTGTCACAGACTGACGTACCTCAATTGATGGATCATGTTGAATTCTGGCAGGTCACAGAGTCCGAATAGACCGTTGGAAAACCCTACCACCAGAAGATTTGTTGGCGCATGGAACGCAGCACACTTGACCTTGGCGTCGTTCTGCATAAAGAAATCCTTTTTGACGATCCTCCATCGGGCATCGGAGATGTCTTCCATGGTTTCCTCGTCTTTTTTCGTGACATACTCCCAGCGGAAGAGTGCGCCATCTTGGCTGACAGTGTAAATCTATGGATAAAATTAGTATGGGATTCCCAGGTGGACCATTTTCCAGTAAGCACCTACCACTTCTTGTGTCGCATTGAAATAGGCAGCCACCACACCCTGTCTGTGTCCCGCCAAAGTAGTCGGCTCGAAACCTTCTTCCGGGTCCATGCTCCATACTCGCGCCGTCAAATCCTTGGCGGCAGTGAGCAAGAAGCGCGAATCGCTGGACCATTCGACACTCTCGATGTTGTCAAAGTGGGCAGCCAGATCCCGGTGTAGAACGAAGGGGGCAAATTCAATCTCGCCATTGGTCTCAGTGCCGGGAGTAGAGGGTGTCTGCCAGATCTGCAGGCGTCTTCCCACGCCAACGGCGAAATGTCGGCCGGACGGGGAGAACTTGAGTGCGGACACTCGTCCTTTGAAGGAAAAATGGTGAATGGCGATGCGCCGTTGGAAATTGGTCAAAATTGCGCGACCATTTTCATCCACGGTCAATAGAAGATTACCCTTGGGCGAAAGATCGAGACGGTCGATGTTTGTACGGTGCGAAAAAGGCAAGGTATAGGAAGTATTTCTATAGAAGCAATTGTGAGCGGGCCGATTTCCAAATCACCATCACCAAAGCAAGGACTGCCGGGCGACACATACTGTACCAGATCAAAGACCGAGACTCGATTGCCTACTGGCGAAAGCAAGCATGTGCCATCGGGAGTAAAGAGAAGATTTCCTTTGCGATATACCGTCCCCAAAAGGTTGGAGAACTAAAATTTAACTTGTTAGAATCAAACTTCACAATCAAAAATTTCTGTAAATAGCATGCGATCAAGAATTCAAGCGTTGTACTCACCTTGAAGTCTGTCTTCATTTTTGGCTGTCGGCGGATCTCAAAGATCAAAAAATTAGAGATAATTCCACCAGCTATGATAAGAGCCATCGGATCATCCATATCCCGATACCGGTCCTAATCAGGACTAGCCCGTCACGCTAAACCCAGATAGGCAAGGCGAGGTATACTCCAGAAAACGAAAGGAGATTCAGGGGGGAAGCAGCGACGGGCAGTTCGAGAGAGTCCCGACTTCACATTCGTTCCTCCTTTTCCCTTTTTTTGCAGGAGTCGACTTATTTTCTCTCCCCATATTCTGGTCTTACTTTTACACCAGGGGCTTCTTCTTCTTCATCTTTTTTTTGTGTTGATTCCCCCAATTGTTTTTAATCCCCCTATAACCCACCATGTCGACCTCAGAGACCGCCTCGCCCATTGGCATTGCCAACGTAAGCTATTCGGAATGTCACTCCTTTATGATCCTTTGAAACTAACTTGCTATCTTTGATATAGCTTCCCAACCAGCGGTGTGTACCTTTGGAGTGTTTACGATGGATATGAGGAAAGATTCTAATCAAGCTTGTATAGTCACAAGATCGTCGCGAAGCGGGGTGCAGCCTTCACTATTATGGTGTGTTCCACAGGAGGGTAATGCTCCGCGCGTGCAGGTGCTAATGATGCTTCGATCAGGTTGCCGGAGAGTCGGGATTGGGAAAGACGACCTTCATCAACACCCTCTTCTCTACCACCATTAAGAACTATGCCGATCACAAGCGCCGCCACCAGAAGCAGGTCGACCGAACCGTGGAGATTGAGATTACCAAGGCTGAGCTCGAGGAGAAGTTCTTCAAAGGTGCGACCCAGATCCTCTCCTGTCGGGGAGGGGTTTCGACTTCCGCGTTTCGATAGCTGATAAGTTATCGATTTTCTAGTCCGCCTTACTGTCATTGATACCCCTGGATTCGGAGACTACGTGAACAACCGTGATTCGTGGCAACCCATTATCGAGTTCCTGGATGACCAGCATGAGTCGTACATGCTCCAGGAGCAGCAGCCCCGCCGAACCGACAAGATCGACATGCGTGTTCACGCCTGCTTGTACTTCATCCGCCCCACCGGACACACTCTGAAGCCTCTCGATATCGAGGTGATGAAGCGCCTGAGCTCCCGTGTCAACCTGATCCCCGTGGTTGCCAAGGCTGATACCCTGAGCCACGCGGATCTGGTACGCTACAAGGAGAGAGTGAGTAGAACGAGTGCACAAGGAGAGCGGAGAATCCGGACTAACAATTGATTAGATCCGCGCTGTGATCGAGGCCCAAGGCATCAAGATTTACACCCCGCCCGTGGAGGAGGACGACGAGCACGCTGCTTCCCACGCCCGCAGCCTCATGGCCGCCATGCCTTTCGCCGTCATCGGTTCCGAGAAGGACGTCAAGGCCAACGATGGCCGTGTTGTCAAGGGTCGTCAGTACGCCTGGGGTGTCGCCGAGGTGGAGAACGAGGACCACTGCGACTTCAAGAAGCTCCGCTCGATCCTGATCCGCACCCACATGCTCGACCTTATTCACACCACGGAAGAATCGCACTACGAGGCATACCGTGCCCAGCAGATGGAGACCCGCAAGTTTGGCGAGGCCCGGCCACGCAAACTCGACAACCCCAAGTTCAAGGAGGAAGAGGAGACCCTGCGCAAGCGCTTCACCGAACAGGTCAAGGTCGAGGAGCAGCGTTTCCGCCAGTGGGAGCAGAAGCTCATTTCAGAGCGCGACCGCCTCAACAAGGATCTCGAGGCCACCCATGCAGCGTATGTTTTGGACTATTGTTTAGGTGGATCCATTGCTAACCTCCCACAGTATCAAATCGCTCGAGCAGGAGATCGAGGGCCTGCAAGGTTCCAGCACCCGCAGCCACGGACGTCGTTAAGACGCAATTTTACCGGGAATCGACCCGGATCGTTCAAAAGGGGATTCGTCGAACCATGCTCTTGTTTTTTGTTCTCTTTTGAGTACCCTTTGTCTTGCCGTTCGCGCTTGGAAGCACCTTTGTCTGAGGGCTTGGTTCGTTTTGTTTGTTATATCCATTTACCGCTGGTAGCTAGCGATGGTGTGTCTACAACCTTGATAATAACTTCTTCTGTATTCCATATGAAATACAGAATTAATTTTTGTGAACTCATAGGTTCGAAGTAAAGTAGTAATTTCTGGTTTTTTTCTCCCACTCTAAAAGGTTCTCCCAAGTGGGACTTGGAAGTTGAAGCTCCGAGCTCCCGCATTCTCTAAACTCCAGTTCCTTCTCTCCACCAACTCGACGGCCATGCCCCGGACAGTATTCCCAACCAGGCATATCCATACTCTCAAAACACACAATGGTAAGCTTTCAGTATCTAGGCACTGTCCAAACCCCAAGTTCTCTCCAACCCCCTAGCGCTAACATCCTCCTAGGCCCGGTTAATGCGGTAACCTTCTCAAGCTCCGGAGGCACCTACGTCCTCACCGGCTCCTCAGACCGAGCAATCCACCTTTCGCGCGCAGTCCCAAACAACTCCAACAGCCCGACGGTAGTCGAGACCACAACCCCTATCCAAAAATACGAAGCACATGGCTACTCCGTCCTGAGACATCGCCGTCACAGCAGACAACGCGCGCTTCGCTAGCGTCGGAGGCGATCGACAAGTCTTCCTCTGGGATGTAGAGCAAGGCACCACGACTAGACGATGGACCGGCCACAACAGCCGAGTCGAAGCCGTGCAATTTGCCGGCAACGGCGACTCCGTCGTAGTAACCGGTAAGATCGAACCCCAGACTCCACTTCCAGCATCCAAAACTAACCCCCTCCCTCCAGGCAGCGCAGACACAACAATCAATATCTGGGATACCCGCTCCTCGAGCTATAAACCCATCCAAACCCTCACAGAAGCAACCGATACCGTCTCAACACTACACGTGCATATGGGGACCTACTCGATTGCAAGCGGTAGCTACGACGGCCACGCGCGGATCTACGACGTGCGGATGGGGAAGACGACCGTTGATGTCCTCGCGCACCCGGTGACGAGCGTGCGCTGCTCGAGCGATGGGAATGCGCTGCTCGCTTCGACGCTGGACGGGTATATCCGGCTGCTGGACCGGATGGATGGGAAGTTGCTTAATGCATTCGGGGGTGAGAAGGGTGGGAGTTGGAAGGGACATTCGTATCGGAATTCAGAGCTGCGGGTGCGCTCCGTCTTTGCGATGGGGGATGCGGTTGTGCTGAGTGGGAGTGAGGAAGGGCCGGCTGGGGCGGCGGCGTTTGCTTGGGATGTTGTTAAAGGGGAGGTTATTGCTGCTGTGCCTGTTGGGGAGAAGGTCAAGGCTGTGAGTTGTGTGGCGTGGAATGAGGGTGCGGGGGATTGGGCTGCTGGGTGCTCTGATGGTAGGTTGTCAGACTTTGATGTTTTTGGTTTGAATTCTGCTGACTGTTGTCCTAAGGTGCTGTCAGAGTCTACGGATGAAGTTGGGTCTTTTCTGATGTCTTAGACAAGGTCTTGGACAAGGCTATCCTGACAGGGCAACTTCCCTCGTGTCGACGTCCGATATCCGCGGTTCTTGAACTACCACGGGCCACATTGTGCCACTTCTGCCGGAGCAAGGTTGACGGAATCCTGTACCGACTAGCAGGCCTGTGGCAGTCTTGCTGCCCTCTCACAGTTTCCGTTCAACGCTTCAATTGACTTGACGGTGGGCACCTCTCACTTGCAACTCAAAAAATGTGGCTATCTTGAGCAAGACGGAGGGAAGACAGGTACGCCTTGCAGACCGGTAGACATCTACTATGGAGGTCCAGGTTCTCCTGGAGCCAGGAGCATTGGGCCTGTATGTACGCCCAGCACTGTTATGTCAATAATGAGATATGAAATTAATAAGATAATCATCCTGCTTTCTGCTGTTTTGGTTTTTTTATCTTTTCCTTGTAAGTTGTTAGGTTGGATGTATGATGGTGGTGCTGCTCCAAGGATATAGATCGACGGACTTTGCTAACAATCCACGAACAATTTCTATTTCCGTTAATAAAAATCTCAGAGTGACATAGGCAATATATCGTAAAAACAGAAAAGCAACTCATGACCTAGAAAGCAATACTATTCATACAAATATTAAAACAAACTTTTGCATACTCAGACGCCCATGAACACATAAACATAAGTCATACCAGAGCTTGCACCATCAACAAAACCACACTACCGCCGCAGCGGACTATTAAGCGGCGTCTGCGAATCCAAGCTCCCACCCTCAAGTCCAGGCTCCAACCTCCTCTCCTCCTCAAGGGCACCAATAGCCCTCCCCAGCTCATCCTCACCAACAATAATCGTACCGGCACGCGCCGTACTCAAAAAACTAATCTCAACAGCATCAGCAACATCCACACCGGGCTGGAGATGATGCGAAGACAAGGAATGCAATCCATGAGCCGATTTATCGATAGAAAGCGCCGCAAGCCTCGTCCCGAAAGAATCAAACAGATTCGGCACCGAGCCGACAACACTACTGGCACCGCTGTCGATCGCGCTATCGATCGCGCTATCAGGTAGTGCGTGCGGGTGCGGGTGCGGGACGGTAGCCGCGTCCGCGAGACGACCCGCGACGCCGCAGACGATGCCGGAGGCTTCGAGGGGCAGGTCGCGGAGGTCGAGGGTGATTGGGATGAGGTGGTCTTCCTTTGAGCCGAGGAGGAGGCCGGAGCCGTCTTCGTAGGAACGTGTTCCTGTGGAAGAGGTTGATTGGCGGGCGAAGCGGGGCAGGAGACGTTTTTCTAGGAGGAGGGAGGCGGCTGGGTCCAGGGCTGCGAGGGTTAGGGAGAGGAAGCGGGGTTCGTCGACGAGGAGGACTGTTGTTAGGGCGTCGCGGAGGATGGACATGGAGGATTCTTGGGTGTGGTATTCGTGGTGGGCGGCGCATTGGACTAGCCGGAGGGAGTCGTCTACGGATGGGGTGATTTGGTTTTTGCGGAGGTTGTTGAAGGTGCGGGTTTGGAGTTCGCCTAGGGTTGAGGGGGGTGGTGTTCCTGGTGGGATTAGGTCGCTGAGTCTTCTTTCGGTGGTTGGGCTCAGCGGGCTGGTGATGAAGGCGGCTGAGGTGTTGTTGAATTGGAAGCCTCTTTTTTCCAGGGCGGATATCACGCTTGCTTTGCTTTGCTTTGGCACGACGATGTAGTCGGAGAAGTAGGTGGAGATGAAGAAGATGGAGCTTCGGGGAGGTTAGCTTGGTATGTTTTTGTGTATATAGGAAGTGTTTCTTTTTGGGGTTCACATACATGCCTGCCAGGGCAAGTGGACTGGTCAATTCCAAGACTCGTTTGCCGGCCTCGAGGCCTTGGCCGAGGACTTGCATAGCGATATAGTCATTCTCGCTCACGATCAGACGGGATCGGAGTGAGGTGTCCAACTGGTCGAGTTGGTCCATGACCGGGACGAAGTATTTGTCGACCAGGCGTCTAGGACACATGACAGAGACTTCGACAGGAGTGATAGAGATGTTCATGAATGCAGGTGGTTTGTATGCCGAGCCATGCTCCGAGGCGTTGTCGAGATCATCAAATGCAGCATCATCGTCTGTCCTGTCTTCCAGTGGTGGAGTTTCATCCAGAATGAGTCTCAGAACGGACTTCAAGAAGTACGGGTACAGCTCCAATGGGATGTGTACCAGGACAACACATTCCTCCTAGCAGTGGGTTAGTAAGTGTTGTAGGTGTTGTAGGCTGGTGGCATGAATGACTCACTAGGAAGTGCACTTGTGCATCGATGAGAGCCATTGATTGATCCATCACGAGGTATAGCTTATAGCCTTGGAGCAGGAGAGAAGATGTGTCTGGGATGTGCCTTTGAGTGGTTTGGATGTCCAGCTATTACGCCATTGACGATGATGCTATTTGGAGCAAGAAAGCGCCATCAACATATGTCAGTAAATATTCTCAAGCGATGGAGGTATTCTTTCTTTCTTTGGTTTCATCTGGGAAGAAGTTGAAGTGACAAAAGAAAAGAGAATTCCAATGTTCAACCCCTCTCTGTTCCCAACTTCTTCCCCTCTCAATTTTTTTTTCCTTCCTATCTTCAACTAAATTGACTAAATCGACTAAATCGACTAAATCGACTAAACTAAACCGAACTAAAGCCATAAATCTCTTTTTTTAACTCCACAGCTTATCCGACTACTTTAATTAGTCCGCACGGACACTTTGTTCCTTTTGTGGGGGCCACTTGGCTTTGTCTTTCACGCCGACGCTTGCCGAGTCTACGCTTTGTTCTTATTCGCACTCTTATCATATACGAAGATCATTTCTACGGGTCGACTGGGATCGTCTATACGGGAAGTCTAACATTCACAGGGTATCTGATTTGTCTTTGGAACCCTTCTCCAGTAAATCTCCCGCTTTTTCCGGGGGAGAATTGGTCCTATTTCTGTAAGATAATGCATTAGCAGCATTTATTGTCTTTTGCTATTTTCCCCTTTGCCGCTGTAGCAGAGGCGATGGAAGAAATTTCAGCTGCAACGTCACTCGGCCCGTTTGGAAATATCCGTGTCGTCTTATCGGGGGAAATTTTTATGTAAATGATAAAAGTGATGGAAATAGAAAATACTGTTAATCTATACCTTGTTGATCCTGTTGGAGTTATATTTACTACCTAGTCACCTAGGTAGTACTTTATATGCTGTTTGTCTTTATATAAGAAATTATATAAGAAATGCCATCCTTAGGTCGAGCTCCCCTTGTATAGAACGCTAAGGCTATGGTCGCATAAAAACCATCTAAGAGTAGATATACATTATATTATAAAGGTAAAACCTAAGCTTTAGTCTTTTCTTCCCGGAGTTTATGTTGTATATAACTGGAGAATCTTATATCGATGATCATAATACTGCCCAGCTGTACAACCTTGAATCTATTAGGCCTCAAAGATGTCAATGTATAATAATTCTATTAGTAGAACTGAAGTGCATTACTCTGTTCACCCCGAGCTATCCGAGCCTGTCAACTCAAATATGGCTCGAGTATGTCCCCCTTGCATCCCAGTAGGGGAATTATCTACATTCCACCCTTCAGTGCCCACTTAGGGCATTCTTCAGCAAAACAAGGGCAATCCAAATTTCTGAGCTCAATACATGCCCTACTATGTGCTTTACTATCCCAGTTCCGGCCTTTGAAATCCTTGAATGAAGGGACCAATGTCACTTTCGCAAGCGTGGAAATGGGATCCGGCCCGAGTAGCATACTCCAGCCCCTTAGATCGACAGGGTCACCTTTGTTTTTGTATTGACATAGTTAAAGAGGCCCTGCTTCCTGTTTTATTCCCTTCAACCTCCAGTATAGCGCCCGACCTGCGCCAATTCGACGACCGTGGTTTTTTTTTTTTTAAACATTCGTTTTTACTTTTAGTTAATCCAGCCTCGTATACACTCGTTTGGAGGGTTTTACTATCCTTCTGATTTGGGCTGTCGATCGTTTTAGTTCATATACTGCCACAATGGCTAAACTTAGCCTGTTCGCGCTGGCCACTTGGGCTGGCCTCGCCGCAGCCAAGGACGTCTACCTGAACTGGAACCTCACTTGGGTTAATGCCGCCCCGGATGGGTTTGAACGCCCGGTCATTGGTATCAATGGCCAATGGCCCTGCCCACAGATCGACGTGAACTTGGGCGACCAACTTATCGTCGATGTCTACAACGGTCTTGGAAACGAGTCCACGGCTATCCACTGGCACGGCATGCGCCAGCATGGAAGTGGTGTTATGGATGGCGCTGTTGGAGTTACTCAGTGCGCCCTTGCCCCCGGCTCGCAGATGCAATATCACTTCGACGTAGGTAATACCCGCCAGAGAGACGAGCATGTTCTAATTACAGTATAGGTCAACCAAGCTGGAGCATACTGGTATCACTCACACAACATGGGCCAGTTCCCCGATGGATTGCGAGGTGCTCTGATCGTCCATGATCCTAACCCTCCTTTCCACTTTGATGAAGAGTTGACACTCACCCTAAGCGACTGGTATCACCAGCAGATGCCAGGCCTGCTCGATGCAGCCAGTGTGGCGCCCCATGGCCACGAGCCGCTCCCTGACTCGTCGTTGATCAACGACTCATCCAACACCAAGATCAAGGTTCTGCCCAACAAGACGTATCTGGTCCACATCATCTGTCTCGGAAACTGGCCTGGCCACTTCTGGGTGATCGATGGTCACGAAATGACTGTTGTAGCGGTTGACGGTGTCTATACTGAACCTTACCCTGCGGGAGACAAGTTCTTGCGTGTTGCGACTGGCCAGCGTATGAGTGTTTTAATCCACACTAAGCCTGATGCTAGCCAGAACTTCGCTATCTGGGATACTATGGATGTCAACATGATGTTTATCTACGAAAATCGCACCATCCCGCAAAACTTCAACCCCAACGCCACGGCCTGGTTGGTGTACGACGAGGCCAAGCCCCTGCCCGCGCCTCCTGTCTTCCATCACATCGACCCCAACACTGACTTTGTGGATGATGTCCTTTTGGTACCAGCCGACCACGAGCCCTTGCTGCAGCCCGTAAACCGCCAGATCATTCTGAATACCGGTGCCGGGCTTGTGGACGGTCTTCCACGTTTCACTGTCAACGGCAAGACCTATATCTCCCCCAAGGTGCCATCTCTATACACTGCCAACACAGTCGGACCCGAGTTCTCTTCCAACCCCGAAGTATATGGCCAAGTCAACCCCTTCGTGGTGAAGCACAACGAAATCGTCGAGATCGTCATCAACAACCACCACAACAACCTGCACCCATGGCACTTGCACGGCCACCACTTCCAGGTTCTGCAGCGCACCCCAGTTGACGGCGGCTTCTACAGGGGCCTGACAAGCAACGTCTCCACAACCCCAATCAGACGCGACACCATCATGGTCCAGAACAACGGCCACACCGTGATCCGCTTCCGCGCCGATAACCCCGGTGTCTGGATGCTCCACTGCCACGTGGAGTGGCACGTCGAGTCCGGTCTAATGGCCACCATCATCGAGGCCCCCGAGACCTTCGCGCAGACCATCCACCCTCCTCCGAAGAGCCACTACGACGCCTGCGCTGCCTACCCCCAACCCGTCAGCGGCAATGCCGCTGGCAACGCCGGTCTCGACATGACCGGTCTTGACACTAAGGTTAAGGCCGGCAGCCACGGCGCTCTGTACACCAACACGAAGGGTACCCAATCCGCCGCTCCTGCGCAACCGTCTCAGAAGCCGTCCCAAGCACAGGTGTCAAAGCCCTCTTCCAAGCCATCTGCGCCTAACGTCGACGCCTATAACATCAACGATTACTGGCCAGTCCCTCACGTGGACGGGACGAGCTTCTTCGTCGAGAATCCCGATAAACCGCACAATCACCACTTCGCCATTCACGAGGAAGCGACCAAGGGCCCGCTGCCGGGCCAGAATACACACAGTGGCTATGTTATTGATGGACACCACAAGTACCCCATTCAAGACTCTGGGTGAGTACAGTCAAAATAAGCTCAAATGTGCTCATCAGCTAATTCTTTCTAGCCATGATGGTCTCTTCGGCGACTTGAACGATTGGAATTAATACAGGCATCTGTGATATGATATTGCGCTTCTATATGTTTTTTATGTCTGATCTGATTGATACCACAACCATTGGTAATACTAATTAAAATTAATTCAATGCCAGCTTCTTTGGTTACTTTTCCTCGTATATATGAATGACGCATACAGCACAGATGCCCAGGTATCTCTTCAACTTCCTACCATGGATTCTATAGAAGTATCACCCAATATCGAGAACCCAACCTTCGACACAATATCCAAAGAGGCAGTACCTCCTTTCCCGCCAATAGCCGCCCATTAGCCCTGGTAAACGCCGTACCTGGGAATAACAGCTCCGTTTCCTAATCGAGTAAGAGTCTAATTATCACATCCTGACGACCTCACCATATGCCAGATAAACACAAATATCCTTAAAATATAACCCCCGTATAACGACTCTACAAGCCATCTTCTCATACAAAACCCCATTTAAACCAAACCGCCAAAATGTCAAAACCATTCTGCTGCACCACCCTCAAACCAACGAAGCTCCCAACCCCAGACCACGAGCAAACCTTCACCGAATTCACCAAATGGGCCCTGGCAACAGACAACAAACCAGGAACCACCGATCCCTCCGACGCCAGCGTGTGCATCCAGGTCGTGCGTCAAGATAACGGGGCGATAGAGTCAGTCCGGTACTTTATCGCAGTCGACGAGGGAAGATTTGAAGAAGCCTCCGAAGCTGGGATTGTGGATGCGGATTTCGTGAGGGTCGATGAGTGAGTTAATGCATAAACCCACCCGCTGACTTTACACATTCTCGTTCCTCGGTCTTGGTATATCTGTATTATTGACCTTGTTAATAGGTACGAAATTGTCCGGTGCACCGAACACGATCGATCTTTTATTCTTCATCTCTACGAAGCGAGTACGGGGAGTTTGACTCATTGGCGAGCTAGTATTGCGAAACCGCTAAAGCAGCTTGAGAATGCGATCAAGAATAAAATATCGGGGTCTGGATCTGGATCTGGGTCCATGTCAAAATCGGAATCGGAATTACGGGATGTGCTGGGATCGATGGGGCCTGGTGTTGGGTATAGAGCTAGCTCGGGCTATGGATACGGAACGGGGATGGGGTACGGCTCTGCATGGGGATCTAGTTTGGGATCTGGATGTGGACCGAACTGGGGAACTGGGAATTCGATGATTTTTGACAAGAATGTGCCGTCTTCGACTACGGTTGAGACTGGGTCTCGTGATTCTCATAGTGATGGACAAAACGAAGATCAAGACCAAGATCAAGACCAAGACCAAAGCCAAGACCCAAACCAAGATGCTGAGATACCTTCGCCTGATGATGGGACTGGATGTACCTACCGAAATAGTGACAAAGACGAGGCTGTGTCGTCTTCGTCTACGATCGACACTGAGGTAATTCAAGATGAAGACGCAGGGCCATGTTCGCCTCCATGGGGAACCCAAGTTTACCATGATGAAGGCCGCATGAGTCAGAGTTACTTGGATATTGAGGATTACGGGTGTTATTATTCTGGGCGGTCTTCTGATGACTATGGAAGCTATGACTGCGATGGAGGAGATATTGACCTGACGTATGACCAGGACTGTGGGGATTGTGGAGGTTGCGACAATTGAATGGTTGGGTCTTGATCCGCTGATGTTTTGCTATATTGCTTTTCTTTGGCTCTTCATATACGGAACCCTGTTATCTTTGGAGATTAAGGTGAAAGCTGTCATACAATCAATTACTAGAATTGACACAAATAGTTCTTCTTGTTCCAGCATATACCCAGGTACACCCAGAGGAGGATGACAACTCCGAACCAACACGCCTCATAGGCCAATACACCGGTGTAGAAAACAACACATGGGTACTAAGCTTCTATCAGCATCCGGACTACTAGACGCAGAGCACTTTGATCTTGCCTTTTCATGTTTGCTCTATGGCCGCGATGGCTACATGGCTCACAGCAAGGTTACTGATAGTCTACAAGGGAGTCTAAAGAATGGATAGAATGGAAAACACAAATTGATTTCTCTTTCTAGCTAATCCCCAATGACATACGAACGAGACAAAACCATCTTGCTGAGGTTGGACAATAATTTGAGAGACAATGATATGACAAAATCAGAAGGGTCTGATTGTGGATGTAAGGGTGAGTTGACCAGTGGATGAAACTGATCATGAGAGTCGGCCTGCGCTGGACATTTGTTTGGCCAAGAAATTTGTCAAGCCCAGGTTTGTCGCAGGTTTCACCATGAGTCTTGATGTTGACAAGACAGAGGAAGAGTTGATAGAAAGCCGTGGAAAGCTTTGTGCCTTCGTGATAGCTGGCGAAAGAAGGTTGTTGTAGTAGATGAGTCTTATGGCGGATGGCGGCCATAGTGCATGGTCAAGATGCCCAGACCGATTGTGGATGGTGGCCGGAGTTGATATGGTGGCTGTTGTGGATGGTCAAGATATGAAGACCGATTGTGGATGGTGGCCAGAGTTGATATGGTGGCTGTTGTGGATGGTCAAGATGTGAAGACCAATCATGGATGGTTGGCAGGATGATTGTCAACGTGATTGTCAGAAAGTTGTCAAGATGGTTGTCATAGATAATTGTCATTGATAGATAGTGGTTGTCAAGATGGTTGCCAGGACGATTGTCAAGGTGATTGTCAGAAAGTTGTCAAGATGGTTGTCATAATTGTCGTTGATGGATGGTGGTTGTCAAGATGCTCAGAAGGTTGCCAAGATGGCTATCATAGATAATTGTTCGGTAGATGGTGGTTGTCAAGATTTTGTTCAAGGTTGGTTGTTCAAGGTGGTTGTTCAAGGTGGTTGTTCAAGGTGGTTGTTCAAGGTGGTTGTTCAAGGTGGTTGTTCAAGGTGGTTCTCAAGGTTGGTTGTTCAAGGTGATTGTCAAGGTGGTTGTTCAAGGTGGTTGTTCAAGGTGGTTGTTCAAGGTGGTTCTCAAGGTGGTTCTCAAGGTGATTGTCAAGGTTGGTTGTTCAAGGTGGTTCTCAAGGTGATTGTCAAGATTTTGTTCAAGGTTAGTTGTTCAAGGTGGTTGTTCAAGGTGGTTGTTCAAGGTGGTTGTTCAAGGTGGTTGTTCAAGGTGGTTGTTCAAGGTGGTTGTTCAAGGTGGTTGTTCAAGGTGGTTGTTCAAGGTGGTTCTCAAGGTGGTTGTTCAAGGTGGTTGTTCAAGGTGGTTCTCAAGGTGATTGTTCAAGGTGGTTGTTCAGGGTGGTTGTCGATCATTGTCGTGGTAGTTTGTGGCTACCATAGATAGTTGTAAAAACTGAAAATTGATTTTTTTTTTTTCTTTTGCTGGTGAGGGGCCAGATAAGAGGCCAAGATGGTTGTTGTGGTGGACGATTGATGGTGGGCACGGTGGAAGGTTGCCGAGGTCAAAGGCAAGATGAAAGGCCAAGATAGTTTAGTTGAGTGGGCATAGTGGAAGGTCATTCTAGCCGAAGCTCATGATGAATGGTGGTCACAGTGGATGATCAAGCTCATGTTGACAGCAGTCATGAAGGACGAAGACCATAATAGACAATAGCGAAGGCCATGATGCATCGATGATTGTGGATGGCCCATTGACAGCAGTCATGAAGGATGATGACCATGATGGACAGTGGCCATGGTGGATGTTGATGATTGTGGATGTCCAAATGGAAAGGCCCGGAGTAGATATTTATCACCGTGGATTGTCGTCACCGTGGATTGTCCCACCATCAATGTTGTTCCTAGAAACAAGTTAGCGTGTCCATGATTCGGGGGAAAAAGGGATATTATTGTAGATTTGCTCATAGTGGTCATCAGGGCTGTCCCTGGAAGTCACCCAAGATGTTCAACGTCACATTGGAGAATAGGCGGGATGTTGCAAGTGGAGAGTGATAATTGCTGGAAGGCCCCTGATGGATGGTGGTCACGGTAGGTGGTGGTAGTAAAGGTGGTAAATGGTGGTGGTCGTCAAGACAGAAGATTGGTCAAGACTGAAGGTTGGTCAAGACTGAAGATTGGTCAAGACGGTTTGTTGGTCAAGACAGTTTGTTGGTCAAGACGGTTTGTTGGTCAAGACAGTTTGTTGGTCAAGACAGTTTGTTGGTCAAGACAGTTTGTTGGTCAAGACAGTTTGTTGGTCAAGACAGTTTGTTGGTCAAGACAGTTTGTTGGTCAAGACAGTTTGTTGGTCAAGACAGTTTGTTGGTCAAGACAGAAGATTGGTCAAGACGGTTTGTTGGTCAAGACGGTTTGTTGGTCAAGACGGTTTGTTGGTCAAGACAGAAAATTGGTCAAGACTGAAGGTTGGTCAAGACTGAAGATTGGTCAAGACAGAAGTGGTCAAGGGTGGATAAAAGTAAATGCTCATCACCGTGGGTAGATCGTACCACCATCGCATCAGGGCTCCAAGATTGTTTCTAGGAACCAGTTAGCATGTATGGTATTGTAAGGGGGAAAAGGAAGTATGTTATCGTGTTTTCTTGTGATAATGAATAGTCGTCAATATTGTTGGAAGACCCATGACGGATGGTGGTGGTCGATGGTGGTGGTCAAGACAGACGAAGGTTGGTCAAGACATGTTGTTGGTCAAGACATGTTGTTGGTCAAGACATGTTGTTGGTCAAGACATGTTGTTGGTCAAGTCTGAAGGTTTGTTGGTCAAGACAGAAGTGGTCAAGACAGAAGTGGTCAAGTGATATAAATGAATGATCGTCATCGTGGGTAGGTCGTACCACCATCGCGTCAGGGCTCCAAGATTGTTTCTAGAAACCAATTAGCGTGTATAGTGTGTTGGGGAAAAAGGGAAGTATGTTATCGTGGTTTCTCGTGACAATGAACGATGGTCGAAATTGTTGGAAGACCCATGATGGACGGTGGTCACGGTAGGTGATGGTTGTCAATGGTGGTGGTCAAGACAGTTGGTCAAGACAGGTTGGTCAAGACAGAAGGTTGGTCAAAACAGAAGGTTGTTGGTCAAGACAGAAGGTTGGTCGATGTGAAGGCCAAGAGTGGATGAAACTGGATTTTGTCGTCACCGTGGATCGATAGGACCACCATCGCATCAGGGCTCCAAGGTTGTTTCCTAGGGACTAGTCAGCGTGTGTAGTGTTGGGGGGAAGAAGGGATGTATGTTATCGTGGTTTCTTGTGACAATGAATGGTGGCCGAGACGAAAGGCCAAGATGGTTGATTGTTGATAGTTGTTATGGTGATGGTGAGCACGGTGGACCTCGGGAAGCACAGTGGACTGTCATGACAGGTGATTTGTTGAAGTGGATGGTTGACCTGACCAGCCTGCCGATTGTCCTGAAGCCGAAGCCCGCCACGGTCAGACTGGAGGTGGTTGATTGAATTGAGTTGATTGAGGTGGGTGGTTGGTTGACGTGGATAGTTGACGTGAATGGTTGACCCGACCAGCCTGCCGATTGTCCTGAAGCCGAAGCCCGCCACGGTCAGACTGGAGGTGGTTGATTGAATTAAGTTGATTGAGGTGGATGGTCATGGTGGATAGTCATCATGGGTCATGATAGGTCATGGTGGTAGATGGTCGTGATGGGTCATGATGGGTCACGGTGGTGGATGGCCATGGTGGATGGTCATGATGGGTCGATGGTCATGATGGATCGATGGTGGTGGGAGGCCATGGTGGATAGTCATGATGGGTCATGGTGGTTGGTCATGATGGGTCATGATGGGTGGTCATGATGGGTGGTCATGATGGGTGGTCGAGGTGGATGGTCATGATGGGTCATGGTCAATGGCCAACCTTGGAAGGTCACAATGGACAACAGTCAAGGTCATGACAGGTGATCAAGGTCACAATAGATGTTCAAGATGTAAAGGCCCAGGGCAGGGTGCAGAGTCGACGACATGGATGGTCCCACCACCAAGGTCTAGACACAAGTCAGTGTGTCTCCAGTCAAGAAAGGAATAGGGGATACTATGATGAATGATTATTGTAGGTCAAAGAAGGTGGGGTCCTATAAAGAAGTAAGCATGTGTGTATATGTTGAAGGAGGGTAAGGGATATTATGGTAGGTGGGTCATGGTGACTGGGGACCATGTGAAGGCTGAGAAACAGCAGAGAGATGTGTGGGGAAAAAAGAAAAAGAAGAGAGAAATGGCGGGGGGAGGGGGCATTTATAATTTTCCAGTGGCTTAAGGGCAGGAAGGTACTGGGGTAGGGGACGAGTTTTGACAAAAAAGGAAGCTGCGACACATGAGAGGGTAGGGGGTTCCTTCCCAGGTGTGCTCTTGCCTACCTAGGTATTTCCCCATTTCCTGTCTATTGACACCCACGAGGATCTGCACATCACCTATGTTGCTGCTTTTGAGACTCTACACAGGAGGTTTAGAATTTGATATACAGAAGGTTAAGTGTACCTTGGATCCTTCTCCCGCAAACCGAACTTGAATTTTGGGTCTTCCAAAAGCATACACGGAGCAATGAGGACATGACGATCAGCTAAATGGATTAACAGATCAACAACTGCCAGTATCATTCTCCACATTTCCCCAGCTCGTCAGGTCCACCCCCATATCCACTATGGCTCCACAGGTATTTTGTTGCGATAAGGTCAAGCCTACGGCTTTCGATGAAGATTACAGACTCGGAATCTTCATCTACTGGGCAAAATCCAAACACAAGAGACCGCCAACCAAAGAAGACAACCTAGGGCTCAACGTCCCGTTCTGCGTCCAAGTGTTCCAAAGGTCCAATCCCGACTCAGCCCGGCTCTTTGTACCAACCGGCTGGGGTGAATTCGGCGAGATCGGACGGAAATTGCTCCCAGCACCGTGGGCGTCACATGGGTATGTCCCCGGATACTGTGCTGTGGGTTCAAGGCTGACTATACTTAAAGACCATCACATTACAAGTGCAAAATTCATTGCACGGCCTTTCGGGTTACATTATACGAGAAAAATGTCAAATCGCCAACCCTGTCTCCATTCGCGTCTGTGACCTCCCATATAAAACTTCCCGATCAACGCGGCTGTAGAGAGGCTTCCTCGTCGACAACCGGAGAAGAGACAAAGATGGAAGGAATAGACGCTTCAACAAATCCATCAGCAGAAAAAGACCCAAGCCCAGTGGGTGCGGATTCCAAGTATGATGTGGAGAATATTGCTTCGTTGGTGAATACGCCTGTGGGTCAATATGTCTTTGACCTAATTAGAAGGGTGAGAGATACGACAATTAACGAGGGCTTCCTTCCTACCAAAACCGAGTTTTTCAAAATGCATGTGCTTCAAAATGCATGTGCTTCATGATCTACGCAAGTTGACAGAGTCTATCGATCAGAATATCTGGATCTGGATGCTGATGTCCGCTGGAGATACAATTGCTGGGTTCTTGATGGCCTGCAGCCCTTCCAACGCCTATACCGGAGATTACAAAGTCAAGCTAGTCGACGACTGTGCAGCCGCCATTCATGCAGCGTATTGCCCCGATATTGATCAGCATGAGGCCCTAGCTAGAAACGCTTCTGGCTTGGTCGGTGGTCTCCATTGTCAATACCTTCCGGATGATGAATATCTGACTTCAATGGTGAATGATGCTGCTGAGGTACTGGAGGCTATGGAAATAGACTAGAAACAGCAGAATAACTTACCGAGGAAGATGTCAAAGCAGGACAACGTAGTCCATCGTCAAATGCAGTTTGTCATAGTCAGAGCTTGTTATTGTTGGAGGGTAGGTCGCAACTCTGTTTTTGGTTCATCACTATACACATTTCGCGTGATATATTGAACTTCAAGGTGTGGATGTATGGATGAGCGGGCTTTTGGCCAAGCGGTTGTTGTTGGTTACGAATTGGCGCACCGCTTGTTTGGAACCCGCTCATCCTCAGCTCGAGTGCCGCTTGATCTCGAGTTGCCGGATCGCCCCCGGGCGATGACTTTTTTATTTTATTTTTTTTTCCGGGCTATTTACGTTTTCTCTACTTGCTTGCGCGTTGCTTGCGCGTTTCTTGCACGTTGCTTGTCCCAGTGAGCTGTGTTGTTCACCGTGCCTTAAAGTGCCATTCCCAATGCTCCACACAGTTATCCCAGCTCCCTGGTGCTGCTCCGTGTCTCATACGCCCTATGCACATGCTTCTTGGCTGAGAGTAAGGTGTATCCATCAGTCAACGAAGACGATAACTGTGATCACTGAGATTTCACACTGGGAATACAGAGCGATGGTGTTGCTGTTGTTGCTGACACTAAGACCTTGCAGTACCTACAGTCGGTACATACATAGCTATATGTCCCATATTCATTTGCTGGGGGCTTCCATATCTTAGCTGGAGTTAGTTATTCTGAGTTTTTTTTTTTTCCACAACTTCATATATGATATAGAGAACTCCGTGTAGTGCATTAGGTGAAATATCAAATCAGCTGGTGAAGAAATTTACGAGGAACTCCCACAGATGTCTCCACACGAGCGTTGGCCACCTTTGTCAGACACAGGTCGTTCCTTTTCCGGCTGTAAGAGACCGCTGGATCTCAACTCAGTGATGGGTTGCCAAGAGACCCAAAAGTGCCTGGGTGAAAGGGACCTTGTGACACATGAACTACCATTTCATCCACTGAGCTTGATTACGTTTGGCTATTCGTGTTGCCAATCTTGCAGAACTTGCACAGACCATACATCTAATCTACTGGGACAGGAAAAAAAGCTACATTATAGCTGTCGACTACGGCTGGAATTGGATTCGATGACGCCATGGTAAAATCTTTTCAATTTGGTCGCGGTGGTCTCATGACTTGAAACCCCTTTTCCTTTTTCTTCTTCTTAGGACGCTTCAATGTCTCTACAGCCCCGGCTGCCCACTCGCGCAGGGTTTGTCGACTCTCTTGGCTCTCTTCTGGCAGCTCTTGCGAGACTGGTACTGGCGAGGAGGCGGAGCCATTGCCCAATTTCCCGTAGAATAAATCAGACTCTCTCATGGAGTAGTCGACGTTGGGTCTGATAGGCAGTTCCATAAGCTCGTCAAACGAATCCCGAAATGGGTTTGATGGATGAGAATCACTGCTATTTTCAGCAGGCTCTTCATGCGAGTTATTGAGTGTAGAGGATCGATTCGCTGGAGCCTTGTGGTGATGTCGTGGGGGCCTATAGAAGGCAGAGAAATCTGTAATGTATGTTTCCTGGGTTGGTGTTGAAGGGAAAGGGCTCGTTGGATTTTCGGAGGCATCGAACGGCAAACCAGATCTCCTTGAGGATACCGAACTACCGGAATCAGATAGTCTAGCGAAGTCCATTTTCTGTCGATTTGCTCGCATCCTATTCAACACAATTCCCATAGTTCGGTTATCGGGATCAGGCACAGATTGGCCAGAAGATGAAGACTGTCACAGCAAATTAGTTTCTTTATCTTATGGTTGTATGTGATGAATGACTTACCCTTGCGGCGCTGGAATTGTTCCTTAGGACAGTGCCAGCGCTACCCCGCGGAATTTGAGTCAGCCGCCAAAGTGCAAAAGGAAGAAAACCGAAAATTATCATAATGCCATGTAAACATAGCATTATATAGCCGACCCATTGTTTAGTTGTTTCATTTGATGAACATGCGAAAGTGATACTTAGGCAAACAGTCAGAAGGCGGACAATATTGCACCAAGCAGATATAGACAGAAAGAGTTTGCCACGAAGTGACGTGGCCATATGTAGGAGAAGAGTGATTTCAGTCCCCATCAACAGGAGGACTTGCACCAAGCCCCAGTCTTGCAATCCACCAATCACAATTCCTTGTAATAGTGGTATTGCAGCTGGCAGGTACTGCGACAGATACTGCGACAGATGCTGCCAAGGCTGCATTGGAGATTCGGTTGTTCTGCGGTCCTGGGGAAAGTCTGCAGATGAGCTATCGTTGAGCCCCTTTTGACGTTGAACATGGCGAGTGATGAGAAAATTGGAGTAGACAAGGACTGCCATAGACAATCCGACTATAAAGATGCGGTAATTGGGCAGATATCCAATGAGAATTAACTCGTAGGACAAGTAGGATAGGAGGGGAAGACTAGAGAAGGACAGAGCCATGCCGATAATGATACAACCCGCGTTCCACGAGACTGAACTCAGGTGGAACCCCCCATTGAATCGTGACAATACCAGACACAGAATCAAAGAAATGATAATGACAGCAAAGAGGAGTATTGAGAGGTTGATAAATGAATCAATCGTGATATCCGGCATCTGAGGAAAGCCAAGTGTTTGAGACATGTACTCGAGCCCGTAAGACCCATTAGTGACATACATGCCATCTTCCACTCCAGGGTAAGTGAAACCATGATCAATAGGGCCCATCCAATAGAGAAGCGAAGACCAAGCCGCTTGGCTAACTATCGGTTGATAGAATCCGGGGTACTTCAAGGTAAGCGACCCGGCCAGAAAGATGAACTGCAGATACTGTAAATAGCCAGCTATATCGGAAATAATTTCCCACATTGGGCCCAGAATAGACCAGGCGGCTCTGCTTTCAAATAGCGAAGTCCATCCCAGCTCATCATTTGCATGAGTCTTCCATGAAGCGATGCTAACCAGGGCCATCACTGCAGCGGGGAGATATGTGAATATCACAGAAGCTGCTGTGCCGATCTCTGGGGTGATCTTAACTGCCACACAATCAAGCTCGGAGCCATCTCGTGTCCTGAAACTACTCTCTGCAACGACAGTTTGGAGCCGATGGGCATTTCCAATAGAGTACAAAATCTCGTATTTTGAGAAAAGTGTGCCCTCTGGACTATTGGGTCGTGTTAGCTGATGAGAAATGAAAGGTCGATTATTCTTGCCAGATGAATCAGTAACACTTACGGTGTCAGGGTGTTGGTGATCGGTAGAGGGCACTCGCTGTTAAACCCTTCTATATGCCCAACTGGGATACCGAGCACATGGAACTGAAAGGAACTCTCAAGCAACGGTAGGTCGAGATCGCTGCATGTAACTTCTGTTGTGTTGTGGACCGCCAATATTGACAATGACAATATCGGCGAGCTCTCAAGTGAACCATGGAGGCTGTCAATTCGGAATGGCTTTTCCAATGGATCACCTAACTCCGATGAACCGCACTGATACCTGCTAACCCACCCAGCTTCACAGGCTAGGATATTGAGAGTAAAGATGAGGATCAACATCCAAGAGCGTGAAATGCGCTGCATGGCGTACTGATTTCAGCAGCGCACCAGGGGTAGGCATGGCACTTTTTCACACTGTTTTCCTCAGGAGAAGGTTTTCCAGAATTTCCAGAAATCCACTAGCTAGTCGCCACAGGGGCCCCAGTTGAGGTCGCTGCTTGGCGCCGCCAAGAGTGCCAAAAGTGCCGAGAGTCACGTGTTATTGGAAAGGCAGCCAAATATAACCGCCAAGTCTTGCTACGCCATGCGCAACAAATTTCACAGATGGAAAAGTAAGTAAAATGAATTCTGAAACTATATGAAATATATCAATTTCTCTCCACAAAAGCCCATGTCACAAGGATACCTAGTCCAGTCCCTTGAAAACCTCATCGAAACGCAACTCATCAAAGCGCACATTCGGCTTCAACCCAGCAAATTTCCAGACACCATCGATCTTCAGATAGTAGTGCTCATTTGTAGCATGAGAGTGACCACGCAGCTTGACTGTCTTCAATTCTTCAGTCTCGTAGACCTGGTGCGCCGCGCGGAGCTGGTGGTGACCGATAACCTCGGTATCGGAGATCTTCTCCCACCATGTCTGACCAAGCAGATGCTGGGTCTTGATGGTTTTGTCACCCAGGAATCCTGGGTGGGTGATCATGGCCATGTAATCGTCAGCGGACATGTTGTCCCATCTTTTCAGACCGATCTTGGTATAGTCGACCGTCAGAGTTGGGGCAATGATGCTGCGCAAGCGGTCCCAGTCCTGGAGCACTGTCAGTACTAATGTCAAATTGACGTTGAATGGGATGGGAAGTGTACCTTGGCATCATAGCTGTCCGCCCAGTCGAAAACGAGCTTCGACAGGATGAGGTAGTCTGCTGATATTAGCACGAGTAGGTGAATGAGGGTGGATTGAGACAAACCTTGGAAGCTGATGTCCAAGTTGGGCTCGGCGGGGATCTTCCTCACGGCAGGAGACATGGCTATCCAGCAATGTTTGCCTTCTGTAGATAATTCGAGTTTTGATGATAGCTGCGAGGCGCGCCCTGCGAGTATATCCAAAGTTCACTCCCAACAAATTTCCCTGGTACCAACATTCCCCGGATCTGGCCAGCATATTTCCCTTGCATGGGAACACAACAATGCAACCGAGAGCTTCTGATGTGACATACGGTGGATACAACCCCTCGTGGCTTTCCGCATGCGGTACAAGGTATCGCCAAGACAACTTGGGGTCCTTGTTCGCAAGCAGCTACTCTGTTTTAAGAACCTGGTGTTGACTGTGGGCCTCCATGGCTGCCATTGTCATATGTCACCGACAAATTCGGAAACAAAGCCCAGCCTTTGTAATGGAGATGGATGATGGAACCAAGCCATTCAACTGATTCCAGCCGGGATCCCAGTGTTACTGTTCAAAATACCAGATTCAATATTAGACTACGATTCCCATTCCCAGCGCGATTCCACACCCACTCATTTACAATCCGTCACACCTCACCTCCCTAACATCACGCCAACAAAATGGTCGTCGAACACCCCAACACTGCCCACCACGAGCTCGCCGGCAAAGTCGCCCTGGTGACCGGTGGTGGCCGAGGCATCGGAGCCGGCATCGCGCTAGAACTAGCGAAGAAGGGAGCAAGCGTAGCGATCAACTACGCCAGCAGCTCGAAGACCGCCGACGGAGTGGTACAAGAGATCCAAGCGCAGGGAGTGCACGGCGCGGCCTTCCAAGCCGACCTGACAAACGTCGACTCAATCAAAAACCTGTTCCAGCAGGTAGTCTCGCACTTCGGACAGCTGGACATTGTTGTGTCGAACGCTGGAACAGAGAAGTTTGTGCCGCTGTCCGAGACGACGCTGGACGACTTCAACGAAGTCTTCGACCTCAACACACGGGCGCAATTCTTCGTCGCGAAGAACGCCTACGACCACATCCAGCCCGGTGGACGTGTGGTGCTGATGTCGTCCATTGCGGCGGGCGTGGGTGTGCCCGGCCACTCGCTGTATGCGGGCAGCAAGAGTGCTGTGGAGGGTTTTACTCGCTGCTTTGCTGCTGACTTTGGCAAGAAGAGGGCTACTGTCAATGCGATTGCTCCTGCTGGTGTCAAGAGTGATATGTGGTTGAGCAACTCGTGGCGCTATGCGCCTGGCTGTGACCAGAACTCATCCCTTGAGGAGATTGAGAAGGCGCTCGCGAATGGCAGTCCCCTTGGGCGCTGTGGTGTGCCTGCGGATATTGGCCGCATTGTGGCATTCTTGGCCAGTCCTGCTGGAGAATGGATCAACGGTGGGTTCTGGAATGTTGGATTTACCCTGGGAATATTGCTAATTCTTCGCAGGTCAAATTTTGCCTTGCAACGGTGGAGCTAACATCTAAATGACATCTAATTAAGTTACCATGTTGAATTGGAGATGTTGGATGTTTTTTTTTGAGGTTATTGGAGAAGACCCTGCCATGTATACATATGTAGGATCAGGGCCGATTACCATTTGAATCATGCGTCGTCCTAGTTTATTTTTCATAGACAAAGAATGAAAAGCACTTATTGACATTATTCAACCTCTGAGTACAAAAAGTCCATGCCAGACCTGGCTCTTTCAGATACTACATAGGATGACGAAGCGACAGAAACGCCACGAGAAGCCACGAAGAGAAATCGAGAACATGATTGAGTAATGAGACATCGGAGAAACTGATCTGCATCCCCTTTCCTCGCCATCTGGGCTGTCACCCCCCGCATCCGGAAATCATCGAAGCAACCCCATGTGCTGCCAAGATCACCATCGGCCGATCTCTGCCGATCCGGTCCCATCCAGGACTTGCTGTAACATCTACTGTTTGCGTCTCAATGGATATCACTCTGGTTTTCCTCTCGTGATAGATACTACAAGCAAGTACAGGTGATGTCAAGTCAATTAAAAGAGCGCAAAATGCCTCAAAATCGTAGTTCATTAAAGAAAAAGCCCTTGCTAGGAAATATCAAAACCATCAATCTACTTCATCTATATCTCTCAACATGGTTAATTGGATTCTCGGAGACAAGTTCGACACTGTCTACCCTCACCAGGGGTCGATCAAGCTCCTGTGGGAGACAAAGTGGAAATTCTGCGTATGTCCCTTCCCAACAAGGAAAGAAGAAAGCTAACAGAGATAATCAACCAGGCCACGAAGTCCATCTACCCATTCCACGATGGATTCCTGGAAGACTTCGAACCCGTGTTCCAAAAGCTAATCGCCGTAAGCATCCCCAAACACAATACATCCCAACCCAAGACTAACAACAACAGGATGGCATCAACAACGCAGACACAGACGCCTACACCGAAGCCTTCCTCCCAACCGCAACCGCGCTAGAGGAAGCAGCCAGTAAAGCCCTCAACAACGGCAACCTCGAACACGCCGCAGACCTCTACCGCCGCGCAGCAGTCATCCTCCGCATCTCGCGCTTCCCCTACGTAAGCCCCTCAACACGCCCAGAGACATCCATCAAGCGCGCCGCCTTCGAGCGCCAGAAACAAGTGTACCTGAAAGCCGCCTCGCTATGGAAGCCCATAATCACAGAGGAGGTGATTCCGCACACGCACCGCGCCGGCCGCGACGGCGCCGAAATCCCACTGTACATCCGCGTGCCGGAGGAAGCGAGCGCCACCAATCGCGTCCCCGTCGTGCTGCTCATGACCGGGCTTGATGGCTACAGACCCGATAACAGCCAGCGCTCGCATGAGATCATCAACCGTGGCTGGGCGACGGTTATCGTTGAGATCCCCGGGACGGCGGACTCGCCTGCGGATCCGGCGGACCCTGAGTCGCCCGATAGGCTCTGGTCTAGCGTGCTGGATTACATGGAGCGTCGGCCGGAGTTTGATATGTCGCGTGTCGCGGCTTGGGGGCTTAGTGCTGGTGGCTTCTATGCTATTCGGGCTTCTTGTACGCACCGTGAGCGTCTTGTCGGGTCTGTTGCTCATGGACCTGGGTCGCACTTTGTTTTTAGTCCTGAGTGGTTGGCTAAGGCGAATGACCATGAGTATCCGTTTGAGTGAGTTTTGACTGGAGTTCGTCTTGTGTGCTGGAGTATGCTAACCATGATGTAGGCTTACTTCCGCTATGGCGGAGAAGTATGGCTATGACAATGAGCAAGAGTTCGTGAAGAACGCCCAGAAGAAGTTCTCGCTCGTGGAGACTGGTGTTCTTGACCAGGATAACTGCCGGTTGCTTATGCTCAACGTATGTATTCCTCTTCAGAGTGTCGACAAAAGAAAAGAAAGCTGATTGTTTCCAGGGCGTCGATGACGGTGTCGTCCCGATTGAAGACTGCATGGAGCCTCTCAAGCATGGCGGTCCTAAGGAATGTCGGTTCTTCGAGAACCGCGTGCACATGGGATACCCTGACAGTCTGCCTGTGGCTTACAAGTGGCTGGAGAGTGTGCTATCTCCCAATATGAAGGAGGTGAAGAACTGAGTGGGCGCTGAGGTGTTGATGTAGTCTGCTTTAGGCAATCAGTCATTGAAATCGAATGTTAATACTATTTGTGTGAATCATATTCCAGATGGTGTACATGGGACCGAAATGCATTCATTCCCCCAGACGTATATTTTGCATCAGTGTAATTGTGTAGAAGCGTCTCAATCCAGGGCACATTCACTAGAAAGATGACAAACTACTTGTAATTTGAAGACATAGATCAACATGGTTTTTATTTGTAGCTGTGTATGAAATGTGACTACCCATTTCGCGCAAGCCCCATTGACTCGCTTCGATTTCGATTCCCTTTTGTGAACAAGATGGTAGGATAGTAGGAATCACACTGCCAGAAACGCCCGCAATGCATTGAGGATATTTTTCCGATGCCTGTGAAAAAATCACAAGAGAACATAGAGACCCATATGGAAGAAAGATTAACAAAAGCGGATTCATTCATCGTCGACCCTCGGGCGCTTCGACTTGCGGTCATCACCTTCAGCTTCCTGAATTCCATAACGCTTCTGGCCCGAAGTCACATCGGCAATCATGTTGTCAATGCCAAATGGATCAGCAGTGTCCTTCTCGAATTGAACCGGACCTTGGCGCTCCTGTAGAATAACTTATTAGCGACGAAAAAGAAAACATATAATTGACAGAAGCTTACCTCTGCTTCAGCAGCGCCACGGAATCCCTCCTTAGCGCGACCCAGGACCTCGAACCGCTTGGTCTTCTCAAGCTTGCTCATCTCGCCTTCGCCTGCATCTTCGTCATCGACATCAGTTTGGGCACGTGGACGATAGATACTGTTGATGGCGTCCTGCGCGGCGAACAGCGGCTTGTCGTAGGGGTTATCTTCATTGAAACCAGCTTGCATGCCACTGGTCTGATTGAACAAACGCGAATCCCACATGGATTCAGAGCTCTGTGTAGGCTTGGCCAGACCAAGCGCAACTTTCTCGGAAATATCACGGTTCTGTTCTCGGGCCATGGCCTGGATGCGGCGCTCTGTGCCCATACGAGACTGGCGCAGCTGTCGTTCATCTTCGCGGCGTCGCTCGCGGCGCTGCTCCGCGCGCTCTCGGGCGGCTTCTTCATCTTCGCTAGGGGTAGCGGACCTAGACGAGTATGCAGATACACTGCGGCTGACGCTTCGGGAGCGGGACCGAGCCCGCGATGCGCGAGCGCTGGGGCCAGCGCGGTCCTCGCGAGCCTTTTGTGCCAACATCCGAAGATGCTCCTCTTTCTGTGCCTTCTCCTTCTCTGCCAACTTCTGCTGCATTTGAGCTCGGAGCTGCACCTCTTCACGCGCATGTCGATCCGCCGTGAACAAAGCCTCCGCGAACTGGGCGAATTTGTCGTTGATGGAGACGTCTTGCAGCCCGCGACCATCCGCAGCCAAACGCTTGTCCAGGGGCACGGTGTAACCCTTGGGGTTCTTCCAGTTCGACACGGGAGGGGGGATCTTCCAAGCTTCCTGATCCTCCGCAGTAAGCTTCCTAGGCGGCGAGTGCATGACGGGAGGAGGCGGAGAGGGTGGGCCCCGGGGAATCTTCTTGTGCTTAAACTTGGGCGGCTCCATAGGATCCAGCTGTCTCTCGACAATCTTCATAATGCGGTCATTCTGGCGGCCGTTGTTGCCCATCTGGTTGGCCGGGTGTATCGAACAAAAGTCGGCTCTGCTCTTTGTCCGCCCTTGACGTTCTTGGGCTTCTGCGCAGACGAAGCTCCTTCGACCAAGGTTGCAAGCGCGGCCTTGGTCTTCTCCATCTGAGCCTGGACCTCCTCCTCAGACGGCTTGTCCAGGGAAATCTCTCCCATATCCACCCGCTGGCGTAGCGGGATCAAATCCTTGAATGAGGCATGGACAGTGCGGTTGTCGGCATGTCCGCGGCGGGCGATCGCGTCGTACTTGACCTTGCCTTCGGCATCGACCTGAAGAGCAAGCGCATTTGACTTGGACGATTTTCCCTTTCGGCCCATGTCAAGGGGGTACTGTGCAACTAGGATCTCGGGGAACGCGCCGCCGTCCCCGAAATCTTCGGGGGCGCGAGGTCGCCATCCTGCACGGTTTCCGTAGGGCGGAGGTCCGGTCCTCTGCAAGATGGGATAAATTAGTATTCGTAGCAATATTTCGGTAGAACGATCCACAACTTACCCGTAGGACAACCTGTGTTTCATCAATCTGGTCGGCGCCCACCACGCGCGGTCCACGGGGTTGCGCATGCTGTGGCAACTCCTCCTCCTCACCAGTGTATTTCGGTTTGGGAAGGGACTTGAAAAGTCCTGAAGCAATAGAGGTCGACATTCCAAGAGCGAGCAACTCCAGAGCTGTACACTCGTGGTTGATGAAAAAAGATCATGGGGTGACGCTCCATTTGGCTTTTCGGGTCAAACTGCACTGTTGGTCTGTATGGAATGCCGTATGCCTTTATGCCAAGACTCTCTAACGTTGAGCGACAGTTCACTCTCAGATGGGCTGGCTCATTTCACTAGACAATGGAATAATATAAGAAAGATGAAAGATTCAAATTTGAAATGCCTGTATTTGCCGAGAGAAGCCTCCTTTTCAGTTCTAGAAACATTGGAGGGAGTAAAAGCATCAGAATGGAGTTTGAAATAGTAAGTCGCTAATGAACGACTAGATGTTATAATTACATGGGAAAGGTTCTTGCACCTCTTGATGAGTCTAGATGTACTCAAGTGGATATAAAGTGTGTACGCATGGGGCATGCAATGTCCTCTTTATCGCCTGCCTCGACGAAATGATCACGCCCCTGGAATCTATACCAGATCTTCAATCGTTTGGGCAGCAATGGCGCAGGGTCATGGAATCCCAAAATTTGGAACTAGATACATCACAAATTAGTATTCTGCTTCAGAAAAAAAAAGACCAATATGACCAAATTGGGCTATCGCTTGACTTACCTTGATGGTTTTACCGGGAATCACCAATTGACCCCGGTTAACTAGCGCAGCCACAGGGATAGTGACATCAATCACCCGAGGCTCCTCGAACCCATTTTTGGGTTTCTTGTTTACTGGCGGTATATAACCATACTCGGCCTTCAAGATGACGAGACCATCCTGTGCTTCCTCTCGCGCTTGTCGCCTTTGCACTTGATCCGTCATGAGCTCGATGGCCTGGAGACTCTCTTCGCGCTTCTTAGGGATCAACTTCTTGAGCTCACGGTGACGTCGAGCAGCTGCCTGTCGACGACGTTTCCTATCGCGCGGGCGAATATAACCAAATTCAATCGCGCAGTACGCCAGCCAAGGGAATATAGCAGTCAGCGCTGCAGCGCCGCTTGTTGCCTCATTAGCTGGGCAAACATTAATCGGAAGATTGATGTTTTGGCCGAGTCGGCTCCATGAAAATGTCATCATGATACCCTTGTCCGCGATGCCAATACCAAGACCAACACGTGTGTACTCGCCAACCCTTCGAACGCCCTTGATGGTCCAATTCAGAGACATGTCTAACCCAACAACACTTGAGATCTCGAGTCGCACAGCACGAGCCTGGTCCATGCTCGGCATCGGGAAATACCCTTCAGAGCTCCATTCAGTTTTGACCGGATCGTCAGCGGGCTTTCCGGAGAAGAGATTCCGAGAGTAAGTCAAGACAAAAGCGCCTCCGCCGGGAGTAGCCTGGAGATAGGTCTGCCATGACTCGGCAGATTGGTCGATTTGACGTTTCTTCTTGAGAAGGTTGCGGACATCCTCGTCCAATTCTCCACTCTCCTCCTCGTCATCATCGTCGAAATCGATTGCTGCTTGGCCCTGCTTGGGGAGCGAGATTAGACCAATCTGCAGGTTACTGACCTCATTAGCAGATGCAATGGCACTCTGGGCTCCCATTCCAAGTGATGGGAACCAGTTGTGAAGATATTCGGGCCAGTGAACAACGCCACTGGACCACGTAATAACACCGATCTTCTGCTTCGCGATTTCCCTTGAAATTTGGACCTCGAAAGAAGGCGCCGTTTCCTCCAAGGAGCGCTTATGTATACTGGTCACGTTGACTTGGAACGGTCTGGTGCCGGGGATTGGTTGGAAGGCTCGAGCAATATTTGCTTTCAAGGTCGGGACAGGGAGAAGAAGAGCCTCGAAGCTGACTTGGGAATCCCTGAGGAGGGAGAACGGATGTTTGGCCCAGATTCCCTTGGTGCCTACCAGGTTTTTGAAATTGGGAGTCACAGTGGCCCCAAATTGGAAGTTCTGGCCTGCCAGGATCGGTGGCATTTCAAACTGAAAAACGGTTAGCGAGATTTCGACACGCAAACATGTCGTAAATCATACCTTTTCTTCTCCTTCTGTCCCATCCTCGTACTCAACTGTGACTTTCTTGACCGGGCGAGCCAGACCTCCAGTTATACCAGCATTCCAAGTCACCAGCATGTCCTCCGTTTCCTCGTCTTCCACCTCTTCTCCCGAATCGGTTTCCTCCGAGGTTTCTGCGTCTTTCTCAGTCATACCCCAAAGCTGTGGTATTGACAGCGGCGTCTTGAAATTATACGAAACGCCATATGTGGACACTTTCGGCGAAGGTATATGGAACTGCACATCTTCATCCTCATCGACAGAGACCATAGTCGACGCGTTGATTCCGAGGGTAATACCGCCCTATGTGAGACCCAACGAAAGTCAACAGGCCATTCGCGCAACTTCCCATACATGGAAGATCAATCCAGAAAAACATACCCTGCTGGAAACCAGACTCTCAACAGCTTTCCGCTCCCGTTTCTTCATCGTCTTCAAGAACCAGCGGCGGAACTGATCGGGCGACATCGCCTTAACACCAACCTCCTGCCGTTGTGCCTCCCCACCAATCCCCATGGCGCCAAGCTGACCCCATTCCTGTCGCACACCCGCTGCACCCGATATATCATATACAACGCGCTTATTCGGATCGATGAGCGTCTCATACGCCTCCTGGATATGTCTGAACTGACTCTCGGCCGCGTGGCGGAGATGGGGCGGCTGCTTGTCGGGATGGAAGCTGAGGGTCAGGTTGCGGTAGGCGGATCGGATCTCGGCTTCGGTTGGAGGCGGATTGCGCGAAAGGCCCAGCAGGACGTAGTAGTCGGGTTCCTCTGGGTAGTCGCCGACCATGCTATAATCGGCGTCGAGTCCGTCATCTTCCACTGTCGCGCGGAACTCCTGCGTTCCCGGGAACTCCTGCGTCCCGGATTGGTTGAAGGAGGACATGAGAGCTCTTTTTGCGCACTCGTTTCTTCAGATATATATATATCCCCATTTTGGGGTGGTTGGATGAAATGCGACAGGGCGATGAAGCAAGGTAAAGAGGGAAATGGAAATTCCGGAGAAACCTTCCGCACCTCCGTTGGAATCCCCGCTCAGATTGGCTATAGTGGAGCATTTGACATTTGACGATAGAATGGTATACTGTAGAGCTATTCTTGTTTATTATCTAGTTAATCCATCTCAATTTCAAAATATGTCGAGTCTATACATCGAGTATGAAACATTTACCCGTTTGTACACAATGCCTTTGTTCTCGGGTACCCGTGACTCGACTCACATTGGCTTAGCGCAATTGAAGTAATTCGACATATCACTATTAGCATAACTATTAGCATAACTATTAGCATAACTATTAGCATAACTATTAGCATAACTATTAATATGGTATTGCATATTAATGGACGTTGATACATGCAAATATCATCATTTATAGATGAGTGGAAATGACTCTTAATATACGCGAAAATGATGATACATTGATATATGCCAGCAAGGTCTACCTACAACATAGGCACTGCAATAAGAATGGTCTATCTCCACCTAATAAAAGAGAAGTACCCAATGGGGCTGAGCAAGTTATAGAGCATGTTCGTCAACAGCTACCTAGGTATGCAGATCAGCGAACTGTTCCAAGCCAGCTGCAGTGGCGATCATCCGGCTATTCTTATGTAGTATCCAATGAGGTCCAATCCGAGGCATAAGATTTGTATACAGCCTGGTTCCGTAGTCCTGAATCTTAGGATCGTCATCAATTTCTAAAGCATAAGGGCGGTGCAATCAATGGCAGCAGAGCAAAGCCCACTAATACATGCCAAGAGCTCAGTTGGCAATCAAAAAGAAACCTCAAAAAGAAGACATCCGGTAATACTTTGTAGATCAGTTAAAATACCCAACTGAGGCTATATCTAGGGACACTGTGTTGGGTACATGCACCTGGGGTAGACACAGGCGGGATCGACATAGAATCGCTTGGCAAAATGAGCCACGTCGAGCCTCAGACCTCCACTTCAATAGATGTCAGCCTAATAGAGTCATACCAATTTGCCGAACTAGACTAACTAAAGGTAATTGTTGATGTCGATCTATATTAGCGCTACACGCGCACATCCAAAGACAACAGTTCTTTCGGTGAACATCGTGTAACCCATAAGTACGCAGTAAGACCCTCCAGTATACTCCAAAGTTCTACTTCTTATAAAACCTCAGATCAACACATATCGACTTACCAAGCACTTCCACTCCTCACTCAGCCTCACACCTCCCTCCTCTCTCAAACTTCGAATGAAATCAAGCATCAAAACAAACCCTCAACAATGACGATCCGCATAAAAGAACTGAGCTCCCAACAACCCCCAATATTCAGAATAAACCTCTCGCACCCACCCGAAGAGCGATACACAGCCCTAGCCCATCTCTACAAAGACCGAATGCGCTCAGTAACCAGCATATTCGACGACGTGATCCACAACCTAAGCCCCAAAATCCCAACAAAACCAATCCACTGGCTGGCCCGTCTATTCCTCCGCAGACTCTACACAGACGAAGAAACCGCCGAGATCCGCGGCATAAGCCGGGTAACCGGAATCGAGCTATACCTCCTAATCAGTCTGAACGTGGTGCTGGATCTATTAATGGGCTGCACAAGCGGCGGCGTCCGAATGCTCGACGGACTCTGGACTCGAATGGTTCATTTCCGCACCTTGGACTGGGGCATGGACCCACTACGCTCGCTGATCGTCCAACTTGAATTCGTGCGCGACGAGCAGCCAGATACTGTGCTCGCGACGTGCATCACGTACGTCGGGTTCGTGGGGGTGCTCACGGGTGTACGGAAAGACCTGAGCGTTTCGCTTAATTTCCGGGCTGTGCATGACACACGTCGGGATGTGGGGTTTTATTTCAATTATTTGCTTGTTTTGCTTGGTTTACGACAATCTATCACGTCGCTGTTGCGACAGTTTGTTCTTCCCATGCAGGGAGGATCGACGGGACTTTCGAATACGTCGACCTTGGAGGAGATACTGCATGAAGTGCCTTGTTTGCGTACGACGGCTGCGTATCTGATTTTCTGTGATGGGAGTAGTATTGTTGCGATGGAGAAGGATTATGGAACTGCGTTTTGGCGCAGGTCGAGTTCTTTCCTTATCAAGACCAATCACGATGAGGATACGACGCCGGTCATGGATGAGGCTATCGCGAATGATAGAGGGTATACGGGGCTGCGTGTGGCGGATGGTATGCAGAGCATGGCTGAGATTATTGAGGAGAGTAAAGCGCGGCAGGCGTCGATGCAGGGGAAATGGGACCGCAGGGTGCGGGACCATGGGGTTTTCCAACAACAACTTAAGAGGCGGAGAGTTAAGGATGATGCTCTTCCCCGTTCGATGCATTTGAAGTGGAAACGGAATACGAAGATGGGATGGGAAGATCCTGAATCTGAGGTGTCGGTTACCCTTGGGACGGTGCTTGGGTGGCTCTGCTCGGACCCGATTGTTAATGAAGATACTCATTACGCGGTCTTGATGGATCCTGTTGAAGGCAGGTTTATCTATTCAGGGCAGTTTCCAGCCAAAGTGACATAATACCATAGTTCTAGAAGATGTGTAAATAAGACCTCAGTCAATCTTCATTTATCTCATTGTCTTCCCTCGTCTCCCAAGCCTGGTATAAGTACATGAGGAGCAGATAGCAGTAGCAGTAGCAGAGCGCTCAAAGACATGAAAAAAAAAAAAAGCAAAAGATAAATGACAACTATAATATACAGATGTAGAAAACATAGAACTCTGCTGCTCGAAGAGAGGCAAATGAGCCAAGTCATGTAGATCACAGTCCCGTCTATACATGGCAACGATACTTTCGAATCAATCACCCAGCCGCCATCATTATTGAAATGCATCCATCACATCGTAACAGGATAATGGGGCCCAAGTTTCCATCACCACTGCAAGAACATCAACATTGCCAGATCAATAACGTCATCACGCCAATTCCGGAGCTTGATCAAGGAGACCAAAAGGAGGAAATAGAATCAAGAGGACAAAATCGTCTCATGGATCCCTAATCCAAGCAATACCACCCTCCGAGATAAGTGTCTCATCAAGCCGTAGAGCATTCAAAAGCACCTCCCTAGGCATAGAGCCAGTAAAAAGATCCTCACCCACTGTTGCAGGCGGATGAGAATGCAAAGCGCCAGCATGGACCTTCGTCTCAAGCGGCGGGCCATCGAGAGCAAAGCCCTGTTTCTCCGCGAAGACGCTGCGCTCATTCAGACAGTTCATCATCAGACCCAGACGTCTGTGGAGAACGGTGACGATCTGCAAAGAGCTATCCCAGTAGCGGCCGAGTTCGTGAACAGTGTCTAGCGCACCCCTAATATAAGAGATGCACTCGTGTAATTGAGACGCCAGACCAGCGGAGCTGAGGACGTCCGCGGCTGATAGAATCACGTACCCGAGGAATGGGTTCAAGAGGGTGAATTGGGATATAGACGGCTCCGTGCTGTGCCGGGAAGGAATGACCTTCTTGGCGTATTGGTCGAAGGTAAGTGAGATGCGGAGGATTTCCACGGCGTGGTATCGCGCGCGGTGGATGTACTGGCCTAGGATTTCGGGTCGGAGGCTCTGATAGCGGGCGTGTCTGTATAGTTTCATCAAACTGGCGTGGTAGAACAGATGGGTTGAGATGAATGTGTCTGCTTTTCTTTGCCGGATGCTTCGTTCTAGGTTTATGGGTGAGAAGACCAGGAAGTCGGGGAGTTGAGTCATCCATTGGTTGGACTTTTGGACGATGGTGGTGTGGAATTCTTCGGTGAGTCGATTGTATGCTTCGGGGGGGACGTGTGGTAACCGGGTTATATGCAGGGAGATGTCTCCCCAAATAGCCATGATCTCGATCAAAAAGGCCATTGGACTCAGGGTGGAGCGATCATCGCCTGTGGAGGGTGGGATGTGGTTGAGGAATGATTGGAAATAGGGGACTGTCGCGTACTGCTGAGTCTCATAGATTTCTTCTCGGCATGGGAGCCTCAGCAAGGCCGCATCTGACGAGATGAAAGTCGACGAAGCGGAATAGAGGCTCGAGAAACGCTGCTCTTTTGTTAGTCACTAGTATTCCATCTTAATCCGGAGGATTTGCGTATTCTTACATCAAGCACAAAGGCAATCCAAAAGGTTCGCCGCCGGCACTCAATCAAGGCCTGTGGATGTAACCCGTAGTCACACATTTGGCTTTGATCCACGACAACACCGCCAGATTCCACGTTGTAACGAAGCCCAAAGACCGCTCTTCCCGCTGCGCCTATCGAGTCCCAAGACCCGACCAGCGAGCCTGTAGCGTAGTACCAAAGGCTCATTATGATATGGCTTTGAGCAAGTTGCAAAGAGAGTGTATGCTGGCTTCTGTTAATGGCAAATCGTGCTATGCGAGAATATCGTCTCATAGCTGCCATTTTGTCTGGCCTGTCTGAGAACACTGATCCGAGAGCCATCATAGAATAAAGGAGCATCTTGTCGTCTGCAGACTTGGTGGGGTAGGTCTTCAACCACGAGCCGAATCGTTCATGCGGGAACATGTGGTACAAACCGTCATTCACGTGCAGGAAATAACACTCAGTGTAGTGAACAGCGGACTCTGGGTCGTTTTCGTACGGGTCCAGGCGCCAGGATGCCGCGAGTGGGTCGTCCGAGTTGTTGTCCTTGAGTTCCCCCAGAATGTCAGAGTACTCGGGTGTACGAGTAGACTCGATAGGTGCTGACGGTCGTCCAAAAGTGTCATCTGTGCCGTATAATGACGGTGGAAATCGGTAGGATCTGGATCTTAAAGCTTTGTCCGCCTCGGCCATGGTTTCATACGTGGCTTCTTGCGCTGAGGATGTGAGCATCGAGCCCTCTGACATCGGTGAGTGGCCGGTAGTCCCAGGAAGGGAGGTCGCACTGTCCGAGGCTCGAGCCATGTCATAAAGTGACAGAGAAGCGTCCAAAGCACCGTGGCCAGCGGGAGCATAGGGATCGGGTCTGCCAGATGGCCCTGCTGACCCTCTCACCGAACGGTTCCCCCGCGGGCTTTGAGAATATTAGCAATGGTCCAGCAAGGTAGGTCCGTGGACGCATATTCTTCAGAGATCACGATCACACTTACGCACTTTCGAACCTGCATTCACGTCCAGATTTCCGGCACTGATCACACATGGCCTCGGCGGTTGGGTTAGGATTACACTTGATCTTCTTCTCCCGGCAGGTCAGACAGGCAAGTCCAAGACGCTTTCTCGGCCTGCCAGCCTTCGTTACGCCCCAATTTGCGTTGACTGGTGTGCCGTCGATGAATTTAGGACAGAACGATCCGTCTGCATATACGAAGCAGAGCTCACCATCAATGACTCGCTCGTCTATCACATGAGGCCGGAGGGGCAGGTTGTTTGACCGATTTGAAGTTTCGGGTGATGATAGTTCCCCACTTGGTACTTGGCCGTGCGAGGAGGTGGTGTGAAAGGGTAGCTGGCCGTGTGAAAAAGATGCAGAGGATGGATCACTTCTTGTTGGTGTGTGGTTTCTTATACCTCTGTGACCATGCAGAGCCACTTGTGACAACGAAGGCAGGCCGGTATGCAGTTGCGGCAGAGATTCGGAACGACCTCTATCGGGTACAGAGGTTGGCGAAACTTGGAAAGCCGGCTCGTGATAGTGGGCCGGGTATGCAGCTTCACGACGCCCTGTGCTGGGTGTTGAACTTGCAAATGGTTGGGGGTATTGTGATGAATTGGGACCCGGTGATGGAGTGAGTATTTGACTCACGGATGGAAGTTGCTCTGGCTTCTGGTGCTGTGGTCCACTGTCTTTGCCTTGGGGGCTGTTGTTCTGCCGCGGAAAGGGATCTGATCCAAACTGCAAACTAGCCGGTACACGCGGCGGTGGAAGCTGGTATAGGAGGTCCCCGGATTCTTGTAAATTAGCTGGAAGTTCCGGTTGCTGCTCTGAGGATGGGCCGTCCATGGGTAACATACGACCGAAGGGTCCAACATAGTAGTGTGGGCCTATGGCAGGACTGGGCCCAGATCCTTGGGGGGGTTGACATGGCGGTTGGATGATATATGCAGTCCGAGTGGTTCACACGATTTGGCTGTCTGCATAACAGACCCAGACAACAGCCAGTGTGACGAGTGTGTTCCGCGGTTTTATATCCTTGAATGGATATAGTGTCAAGGAAAAGAATTACCTGGACTGATTTGGTGATATTGATCTTTGGTTGATTCTCGGCTTCTGTTGAATTGTTCAGGTCCCAGAAAGATAGTGCACAAAGGGGGTATCTATTGAAAGGAGCCAGGCGACTTAGCAATGAGCTCATTTCTCCAATCTCCTTCTGATAGGCGCTTTCCACATACCAATTTAACTTTTCGATCTTCAAGGAACAGTGATGAAATTGAGTAGAAAGTCGAACAAATTCGGATCAGGCGACAGCAAAGCGAAATGGATCGATGGTGTACGTTCCAAAATCAGAAGCGAATGGCAAGCAAGAATGATGAGGGAAGGGTATTTATACAAAGGTTGCCAGCGGGATTTTGATGAAAATATTGGCGCTCGAAATAGTCAACTCTCAGCAACTTGACAGTGCGCCGGTGAAGTCGAAAGGAAAGGAAATTGAAGCTAGCTTAAAAGGCCACCATCTCGCATTAGTCCCGAGCAGTCACGGTCTCAGGTGCATGGTTTCCGTGCCAGGGTGTCTGCAGTATTCCACTAGTCTGTGCCAACGTCCAGGGATTTTGCCAGGATTGAGACGAGAGCCTATGAAGTTACAGGCTCACGGAGAATCGGGCCGAAGTATTGACAACAGCGAAGCCCACTTGAGACCCAGCAGATCTGAATGCCGAGATGCTCGACGATGCGGCAGAGCGGGGAGATCAGACGACAGCGAGATCTCGGTTACAGATTCCCGACCTCGGGACGAGCTAGGGATTAGTGGCGGCAAGACGTAGGTAGATCAAGGATATTGGAGAGAACGACACTGGAGGCGTTTCCGATATCCAAATGACGAATGGATGTGAGAGCCACAAAAGGAGCCAAAATGACCCCGATAGCGATAATGATAACCGGAACGATCGATGTCTGCCGATGGTGGCACACGGCTTATGGGACAAAATAGCCTCGAAGTGTCGCCTACCACTGGTCAGTGGCACCCTGCAAGGGGAAAATAAACAGAAGAAAAAAAAGGCCACTAGAAGTAGCGCGTTATAGATTCCAGAGACTAAGAATGGAAATGGTTTTGACGTTCTCTCCAAGTGGAAACTTCCCTGGTGAGCATCAGCTTTCCCCCTCTCTGCGCAGGGCAAAGGTTCAAGAGATTATAGCAAGAAGCTCAAGAGAAGAAAGAAGAAAATAGCCTAAAGAAGCCGAGGCTCAAAACAGAAAGAAAGTTCAAAATGGAGGAAGATGAGAAAGGAGGGGAATGGAAAGAAAGGGCCAAAGCAGAGTGTTCTAAGTATTCCCAAGTATTCCCAGTTATTCCCAGTACATTAAAATTATTAAAATTACCAAAAGTACTAACGTCTGCCTCTTGGACTTAATATAAATTAGATTTAGCTACTCGGAATAACCGAATCTACAGCTTTTCTCCACGTCACAAAAAGAAAATTGAAATGAGACAGTTTGAACCCTTTCGGTTTAGGCGGCTCCAAAGACGCCACATTAGGAAGAACTAGGGAGTGCCCGAGGTATCTATAGACGGTTAGTTTAGAAAAGGAAATTAACTGGAATTGTATTAACGAGAGTGGATACATGACATCGGCATTGGGTTTTCAAACTTGGCATATCACATAGAACGTCCGTGATGTCTAACGGCAATTATAGACTTGACTCTCCTAAGTGGGGGGGAAGGACATACATCCGTACTCCCTCCGTACCTTGGGAAAAATATAGGGAAAATATAGGGGAAAATGTGGAAATCTCCCCGAGCATCCCCCGGTTCATCCGCTCTACTACTGCTACTACTACCGCATCCTTATATTAATGGCGAATCCTCCACAGGGATCAAGGATGCTACTATGTACATTGGTACGTATTCGTACTAGCCTTTTAGGCGTAAATGCCTTGAAATACCCACTCTGCAAGTACTTTCTACTTTCTACTCCTTACGGCATGACCAATCTCATGCCCTGGTAGACATTTAATGGCACCAATAGAGACCTTTCGGGGTTTGCGTTCGACGATTCACGAACATGTGCAAGATACATTTACATGGGTACATGTATATACGGAGTAGGGATACGGCATCTACCTAGATATACCTACTCCGCGAATAAGTAAGCATAGAAGTGTACTACATATGTATGCTCTGTTCGGAGTAAGATCTATATAGTCCTGAATCTCAAATTTTGCAGCGCAAGGACCAAACCACAAAGAAAAGCCCAGTGAGCTTGTTTGCACTGACTCAGATAATACCAGGAATATGCCCACGGTGGGTCTTTTAGGCTTCGGCCGGTTGGTGGCGTAGTCGATTCGATGCCTAGACGGGAAAATCCTCCTTGCCAGCGTTGGGGCCGCAGGGCTTATCTATCTTACTTTTGGATAGCCTGGTGTGGATAACCTGGTGAAGGATCGACCTGATGGTCCGCAAGTGGAGTGGGCTACTGGTTTGCACCGGTCTGAGGGCTCCCAAATTCGAACTACTATTACTCTATAAGAGCCAAAGCCGAGACCATTGAGGTTATTTTATGACTCTGCACCTAGGATGCTACTATCCAGTTCTTTCTTTAAAAAGAAAAACCAACAGATTCATGTTCTAGAGGGATTTTCTGGGGTTGTCAGGCTATCAGGTTCACCATATTTCTTTTTTCAAGGTCCACCTTAACATCCTTGTCCAACGGCGATGCAACTCTGGAATTGACCACGTAGGATGTATGTCTCAATTTCTGACGATCCGATCTGCAAGCCTTCGGGATCGTCGTCTGGATTGGACTCAGCCCCTGGAGTGTGCGTTTCCTGTTCTGGGAAAGGCCCGAGATGAAATGACGCGAGTTACCCGGACTTCGGGACTTCGCCGTTAATCATTACTCCAATCTCGGCAGTTTAGAGAAGTCAATTCCTATACTCCGTCTGGAACCTCCTTTTCACGGGATCTAGTTTCTCCGAACAAATACCGGGACTCCAAATTTTTGGGTTGAGCGGAGGAATAATCCGCGTTAAAGTCCAATTAAATCGGTTGTATTGAAAGACATAGTGAGACAATCCGTAGATAATCCGTGTCATGATTCCACATTAATTAACGGAGTTCATTCAACTGTATACAGAAAAAAAAAGAATTAGAAAACTTCCCAATTGTATACGGAGGACGGAGATAAGGTATATCCCATAATGCCACCGTGTTCTATTCCTAATAGACACTAATGTATTGCAACATTACTACTGCAACATGTTTTGCATAGCGCCAATACGCTTTGCACCCCTGAACCGATTCGTGTTAGGTGCTCAAGTGAGACATGGCTATACTTAGACAAGTCGCTCAGTGATCTGCGGTTCAGCACGAGACCCGTTTATTGTCTACTCCGTACGGAGTACGGAGTACAAGGATGTAGATTTTTCTCCTTGCTCGTGCAGCTTATCCGTTCGGTTGATCTTACCGAGGCCGCTCTTTACACTTTTTCTTTTTCTTTTGCCTTTCCTTTGCCTTTTTTTTTTTCTTTGTTTCCCGCGAGATCGGAAATTTTTTCTCCTCCGATCGCACGGTTTGGACCTTTCAGGGTCTTCGGCTAATATGTTCCTGATCGATGTTGCATGACAATTCAAGTGGATTGGGCTAATACATACAACATACACACAATACAGAGTACTCTGTACTCCGTTCATAGAATACATATCCTAACCTTGGAACCCCAGACATTTTTTATGTAATACCTGTATATCCATCCATGGATCCATGGATCCTTCCTCGAAGGTTTATATAGGCTTTCCATATACAACCTTGGAACCTTAGGTGAGACCTCAAACCCAACGTCACTGGAAATGAAATACCCTCTATCAATATACACCCATCAACGCGAAGTGAAAAGAGTTCTCGACTAACGTATCTAGGTAAAAACCCGGGCTCGCAAGTGCCTCCGACTATCAGCCGCAGGCCCTGAAGGAGTTCTTGGCAATCTGCCCTCGACCCTGATCTCCGTGCCCGACGTCCAAAACGGCATTTCACTTGGACGATCATCGGCTTTGACACTTGAATCTCCGAGTCATTGTTTCGTAATCCGTGATAGTACACCGAGTAGCCATGGAGGGTCCGTAGATGCAGCACCACCAACTTCTAAGGGTCGATATGTACACGAGCTCGCGTGCAGGGTGCATAGCATACATAACACATCGGTAAACTCTATTCTCTATACCATTATTCATATTTGACACCATACGGGGTACTCCGTGTCTACAATGATATACTCCGTATGCCTAGAAGCTATGTACTATCTCCGAGGAACCAACGGGGCACAGCAAAAGTCAATTATATTGCAAGCAGTGGCATGTGAAGCTCCCGGGAAGTAAACAAGAGAATGCTTCTTTGCCTAATTTCAATATCCCGTGTTTCAACTTGAGTAATTCTTCAATCGCCGTTTTCTTTTTGGATTTCTATTCCTCTATAAATGCCGAGTCTCAAGAACGAATAATATGGGCTATATCCAGGGCATATCCGTCATGTCGGGAACCGCGCTAGCTCGTACGCCGTGATGTATGTTTCACTCGACTTCACCCGGCTTATCTGAGTTTGTGCAGCTGCTAATTAGAGGGGCTTCCATGTGCTTGGATTGGGTGTATACTCCGTACCTAGGTACTAGCTGGTGGGCTGTGAGGAAGCTTGTAACATGTGATATCTCGGTTGACGCCTTGGCACATATGCTCGACTGTTTTGTTCAGGGTCGATTGAGGTGGTATAGACTGAGCTATCTACATCTCTAGGTTGTATACTCCGTACAGGTTGTATTGTTCTTCAAATCTTGAAGACTCCAGGTTTATTTCTGGTGGAAGAACGGGAGCCGCATATCTATCCAGGGTTTGCTTTGGACGAATTGAGTTTGCACATGCATCTGCCTGAAGAAACTTCAATAGGTCAGTCATCTAGCAACGATATACTCGAATATTCGGAAGAATTCATTTCAAGTTCATTTCAATTATAATAATATGTTAATTAACATATTCTCTAACAACGGTGGGCTCAAAATGTTTACGAGATAGTATGTGGTTGGCCATATCATATCTATCCATGTAGAAATATATATATTTTCAAAAATATATTGTACTTGTTCACGACACCTACCATTCAATGACTACAACTAGCTCTGGTAATGAAGACAGTGTAAGATATATATATGTTAATTGGTTCTATGAGAGGAATGATGAGGCTCTCCCCTGTTGTGTCGTATGGAACCTGACACCCGAATTTGCGGCCAGTACGTCCAGAAAACACGAAGGATAGCTGAGCGAGTTGACGGCAACAGTATAAGGACATCAAGCGAGCGACCGGCCAACTACAAGAGACAAGTAATTGTTCTGCTGGACAGATCCAGAAGTGATTGAAGAGAGGAGCGAAGGCAAGCGTCTTAATGGGAAGATCACTCAACTATACGCCCCAAGTTAGCCTTTAAGCTTAAAGTGACATTGACCATGGAAAAGAACGGGACCCTGTTCTTCATATTGAGCTTTGAAAAATGTAGTCAATATGCTTGACTGGAAACAGTTTGTGATGAGCCGATGCATTGAACCATCCACATCCGTGTAACGATGACCCTGCGAAGACTAGCTTCAGATCTATAAGGAGAACCGGACAGATCAACAGCTATCCACAGGAACAGACACCTCGACCCATCTACATCTACATAACTTACCATGCAAGATACGAAGAATTCGAGGGTCACTTAGAAGAACACGGAAACCGATCACATTACTACTCCAAATAGACCCATGGGTATTGCAAAAAAGGCATTGATTCATTTTTGCTGACTACCATTTTTTCCAGCGAAACACAGCTAACAAAGAAACATCAGGGGGGGCAAAGAACGACCCGCTTAGTTCTCGTAGAGAGTGTTCATGAAAGACTCGGCAGGAGCAGTAGGCTTGCCACCCTCGACGGACTGCTGGCCAAGCTTCTGCTTGGAGTAGGCAGCGGCGTAAGGGTTGAGACGGAGCATGACCTGCTTGTTGCGGGAGGGGGTTCTTCTTCTGGACGTTGACACGCTTGGTGCGAGCCTCACCCTTAGGACCCTGGAGAACGGACTGGATTTCGGAGGAGTTGATGAGGCGGGTCAGGTCAGCGTTGGCCACAACGTTGGAAGGCAGGAGGTAGTCCCGCTTGAGAGCCGAGGGGGTGGTGGTGGTGCCGTAGACCTGGTCGAGAGCCTGGAAGGCGGAGGAGGTCCAGATGACGAAGCGACCGAGGTGACCACCGGGGGCGAGCTGGAGGAGGTTGAGGGAGAAGACGGGCGAGGTCTCGACACCGGGGATGTTGCGGAAGGCCTTGACGAGGTCCTTGCCGTCGGTCTCGGGGTTGTAGACAACCAGGGGTCCGCGGCGCTGGCGGAAGCGGCGGTTACGGAGCTTACCCTTACCGGCGCGCATCTTGCGGGACTTCTGGACCTTGACGAGGTCGGGTCCGGCACCGACGGCCTGGAGGAGGGCGATGGCGGCCTTGGTCTTGTTCAGGGAGTCGACAGCCTTGGAGTCAACGACGAGGGGGACCTCGGGGACGTTGGCGACACGGTGACCGCGGGCGAAGAGCAGAGCGGGGGAGGCAGAAGCAGCCAGAGCGGAGGCGGTAGCGAAACGACTGTAGGCGCCAGATTATTAGTTCCTCCGCATTCTCTAGGTGTTCAATTCGTTCAATCGGATTCCAACATACCGCTGGCCAACGTTGACCTTCTGGTGCCACTTGCGCCAGACCTTGGTAGGGGCGAACATACGACCGGAACGGCACTGGTTACCGAAGGCAGCCTGACCGGCACGGTGAGTACCACCACCGGAGACACGGGGGATACGGGCGACAGCACGACCTATTAAATGGGAAGCAATCTTGTTAGTTATTGGTCTCCATACAGAAGAATTCCATCATCGCAAAATTTTCGCGAATTCAAATCCGATTCTTCCAATCTCGAAAAAGGTGCCAAATCACGTACCGGTACCCCAGGACTCAGCAGAGGTCTGTTCACCAGCCTTCTCGCTCACGGCGTAGGGCTGGCGCTTGTTCTTGGCCATACCAGTGTGAACTGACCTGTAGAGCAACGGTCAGCACTTCCCCTCCATCGATTTGTAGATCCTTCAAGTTTTCGGCGAGCCATACTGAACAATATCCGGGCGGATAGGAGCAGAGAACACAGTGGGAAGAGGGTGGGAGGCCCCGGAGGGCTTGCCCTCAGCCGTGGCGATCGAGACAGTCGGGCGGGAGGCCATTGTTGCTGGTCGGTGTCGAGGTGAGGTTGAAGATCCAATCTCTCTGAGTCGGGGGGGCTTCACAACTGGGTGTGGATTTTTTCGCTTAGTGAGAAACTGCAGTGGGGCGGCGAACCCTAAGCCCTTCTTGCCATATACGGACTAGCGGAAATATGGAGCAATTAGATAATACTGTGAGCTATCACGTGGGGTCCACAAGTGGGTCTACATATCCGGCAGGTGCGATGCTAAACATTGAAGTCATCGAGCAACATCACATTTGTCCCTGGTTTGATTTACCCAACCCCTCGAAGGAATAAAATCACTGGAATGCGGACTGTTAGGAGACAAAGAAAGTCATCAAGTCCCATTGAAGTCTGATGATTAAGTAGTGGTCATTCCTATAGCCGACTCCTCTATTACCACTTTGCAAATGGGCATTGACAAACTAGACTATTGTTTGAGCAGCACCAATGTCTACTGACTACTGACAGTACAATTTCAAGACTACAGATACTTCAACATCGGGCCACGCAGTATACAAGGTTATCTTTATCGAAAACCATGAGATGTCCTATTTTCCTAGTCTCATCTCTAAATATACAGGAAGAAAGGGACATATAATGCACCGAACGTAAAGGACCAGCCCTGCAGAAAAGAAAGATCAATAAGAAGGGAAGAGAAAAAAGAATCAAAAAGACCATCCAATGATGGGAAGAAGTTTACAACATCCGAAGCCAGCGGATCATGTTGTGTATCTAACTAAGCGTGACCGTGGTGACGGTAGGAGCGATTGCGGAAGCGCATGCTCGAGACATGACGCGCCTTCTTACTGGCACTGACAACAAGCTCCTCGCTCTGACCAGCGTTGCACTGCGTGCCAGTCGACATGGGCTGGGCAACGGACCAGGTGCCAGAAGCGCAGCGCTGGAAGGCGGTGCCTGAAATGCAGTTCCACTGGCCCTCGGTGCTGCAGCTACCCGTCAGGCCACCCGAGACGGAGCCGGAGTCAGATCCAGTTTCAGAGCGGGAGGATGAGGAGGTTGTTGCGGGAGCTGGGGCAGGTGCCGTGGAGGACACGGGCTCGGGTGCGCTCGACGGAGTAGACTCTGGGACTGGGGCGATGGATACCGAGACGGCTGCGGAGGCGCCCTCTGCCGGGGCAGAGGAAGAACCGGAGGAAGCGGAGCCGGATGAGCTAGAGCCAGAGTCGGAGCCGGAGCTAGAGGAGCCCGCGGAGACAGTAATACCGGAGCCACCGAAGGTAGGGGTACCGGTGCAAGCCTCGGAACCCTCTGCGGCGAGGTTGCCGGGTTGACCCTTGTGCTCGACGTTGTCACCTGGCTGAGGGAAGCGGATATCGACACTTTCCTTGGTGGTGCAGCCGTTGACGTTTGCGACGAACATGGGCGGGAAGTTAGAAGAGCGTTTCTCGAGGTCCTCGGGGAGCGCTTGGAGGAGCCACCCGAGACAGTGATGGGGGCGCAGTTCATGTACATCTCGCGGTTGCCGATACGGTTGAACCAGGTCCAGGCGAGGGTGTATTTGCCAGCCTCGATTCCCTCAGGGATTTTGAAGTCGAAAGTGTAAGGGTCGGGGGTGTCAGGGCCGCCGGACATGTTGCCCTCGACATTGGCAGGGCAGCCACCCTCGAAGGACTTGATGACCTTCCACTCGGAGGACTTGCTGGGCTTCAGGTCGGTGGTCAGACTGATCTGGCAGGAACCACCGCCGTGGGTGGCGCTGCCGATGAAGGTCAGAGGGTGCGACTCGCCGATGGCGATGATTGTCTCGGTCTCGGGGGCCTCGAAGGCGTTGTCGCGAAGCTTGCAAGGGAAGTCGCTGCCGTCTGCTGCCAGAGGCGAGTTGTTGAGAGTGTCCTTGCTGTACGGGGTGGGGCTGCTCATGATCATGTGGGCGTTGACCATGGAGGCACCCATCAGGGCAGCGATCACTTTGGAGGTGACGAACATCTTGGATGATTGAACTTTTGGGGTTTGAGGTTCGATTTGACTGGTAAAAGGTTGCAAGTGGGATCGATTCGTGCCAGACGAATGGAATCAGATATCAAAAAGGAATGGATCTTGTAGTGGTAATGTTAGCGTGGGATGAGAGACTTGGAAATGCGAGAGACAAGATGATGGGATCAGGAGAATATATATCGACAGTGTCTCATTGATCCATTGCAAGGCATGATCATAGATCTCCCACAATAGATCAGACGTGTATAGATTGGAGGCAACGATAACACAAAGGCAGAAACCACAATACCTTTGTATCAGAGTGAATGAAACTAACTGATTCAAATTTGTCGCGAAGTTATTTCCAATCTCTTTGTTGATGAACAATAGCGACAGCCTCTTTGTCTTATTTTTCGTCCCAAAGGTGATAGGGCTTCAGAAAAAGGAATGTATGATATTTCGCCACAGGCAAAATTCAAGATGCAAAAGGAAAGTGACACAGGTCTAGCCTGACTGTCGAACTGATAGAAGCAAGAATAGAAGAGAAAGGGAATGTTCTAAGGGAAAAAGAAGAAAAGAAAAGCCAACGTTGGCGTCAGGGTCTATATATACCTAGGTACAAACCTGGGATGACTCTCAGGCCTTTCAAACATCTCTAAAAGCCCAAATCTCAGCCTCTGAATGGTCCGATTCTACATGCATGGCAATTAGCCAGACACACTTGGTGTGATCTCCGAAAATACAGAGACAATTGCTTGGTTGATCGGTGTGCTCCGTACTCCATACATCCACAGGGGTGGGGAAGGCCAAGGGACAAGAGGGGATGTTTCAGGACTCCTATTTTCCTATTTTCTTATTTTACCCAGTGATGTTCGAATATTCAGACAGTGAAAAGCTGAAAATCAGTCGAACCCAAAAAGATGACCAGTAGGAAGATCCGAGAGACACTTCGCAGATACCCGCTGGACTGGGGCTATGGGCGGCTGGAGACGAGCCAACCACCGCACAGACTGCAAGGTACAAGACTTTCCCACCCCCTGGATTTGTCGCACCATCAACCGCTGGCAACACACACTTTCTCGCATTTCCTGTGGATTGGCTGTTGTTGTAGCCGCTGGGGTTTTCTTCTCGCTTCCAAGGTTGCCTAACATCCACAGGTGTGTTTCATGTTTCCGTACTACCTATATCGTACACCGTTCTTCACCCTTGCGACTTGTACCCTATGACGCAGTGAAACAAATTTAATGGGCATCTTCTGTTCGGTCTTGCAATCTATCTCACACCGGCACTTGTCTGTGGGGTACAGAAGTCTCCCCTTGCCGAGCCTAAGTTGTACTTGACATCAGTAACCAAAGTGTGTTTATTAGATGCTTCATGTGATATCTCCAAATGGAATGTGTCAATCTTGGCTTTCCGGATGTCTAGAGGTGTCAAGCCATACTAATTTCATAAGCCTGGTCCAGGATCATCTCGGTTACAACACAGCTCCACCAAATGTACTTGGCGGATGTCAACTCCGCTAGAAACTATATGGAAGCCACTAGTACTCCGTACGGAGAATAAAGTCCATTGTCCTGTTACCTAAAAGAAATATCTACATCACAAAGCTTGTAAATGAAAATCACCGGGGTGGCACTCCCTGTAATTTCGAGCCGACGGCAATACTCGGCTGGCCTAGCCTAGAACGATGATAGGGACCCGAATTTGCGATCTAGAAATTAAATTCCGACAGTTCGATCGAGGTTCGTATCTGGCGGTGCTATGACTTGTCCGTTGTCTTGTCATAGCAGTACCACGGTAGCATCTGGTGGGTTCAACTCGCCTTGGTATGTCAAATATATATTGACTTAGTATATTGTAAACCCCCTGAACGCCATTCTTCCAATGTTGCTCCTTGATGGTTGATGATAATTAAACCCCTGTTGTATTGTAGTCACATTATCGATCTACAATATATGCTGTAGGGCTGGGTGAATCCTGCACACTTACGGAGTAGACTCGTACTTTCCGCTCTTTGCCCGTACACGATTTCGATCTAAGCGCTTACAGTGGGTATATACTTAGTACTGCACACGAGACCCTGCATAGAACTTCGCATGTTGATTCATTCGTATGAGAGCGGCCATCTAGCGCACGTGGTTTAGCCTTCTACATACGTCGGTGGCTAGTGAACATCTCATATTCCATACAATGGAGGTAAAATGAGACAAGTCAATAGTCCTAACTTAGCCTAACATGCGAATAAACTTGGCAGGTAATACAGCAAAGAGACATCCAGGCCAAATATCATGTGTAAAGAGAGATCTAAAACATGTTGGCCTATACGAAGAGTGAGTTGGGCCTGCTTGTAGAAAACTACATCCGACGGCAAGTGCCTCATCTGGGCTTGTTGATACAAGCCTTGGATTCCCATAACGTGCACCATCAAGTCTTTGTACATATATATTCAAGATGTTCAATATCCATTTACCAAAGCAACGAATTTCTGTCGCTTGTGGCGGTTGGCAAGTTGCGTACTGAAGAGGGTGTGCTACATGCATGTCACATTGACCAAGTTGTTCGTGAGCGCCAAAGCACATTCAGCAGCCCTGCATGTGAGCTGTCAATCTGCCCGATGATGTTGCTGTGGCTTCCAGCTCGCAGAATCGATTCAAGTGAGTTCTTTGTGTTCGCATGAGGTCCAGGCATTGCCTGTCGACATTCTTGTGGATAGTATCGTATGATGGGCCATGCACGATTTTCCCACTATGGCAACTTGCTGGATAGACATCAACTCTCACTTTCCAAGAAGGAAAGTTGTATCCGCACTTCCAAAGGGATTGATGCCTGCTCGAGGTTGCATCAAAGACCCTGATCATATAGACAAGGGTCCACGGGTGTTTCATGTTATCCTCGCACGGGCCAAAAAATCCCCCAAGATTGGAAGGTTCCATAGATTCCAAGCATCCAGAACCTTGGAATAACAAGGGAGATCAGGAGATTACCGGTCCCTCATTTCTTGCCCTTCTTCTTCCCTTTCTCCACACCCGCCTCCTCCTTCTCCTTAGTAAACCCACCCTTAACCAAAGCATCACGACCAACATCATTAATGAGCCGGAACCGCGCCGGACCAAGTTGAATACCCCCATACCATCGCGTAACAACAACCACAACATTCCACACATCCATCAACTGCATAACATGCAACAACCGGCCCCCAGCAGCAGTCTCCCCATCATCATCATAATCCTGAACAACAGTCTCACCCTCCCCATCCACCTTCTTCTGCCGAATACGCCAAGCACTAATATTATGCGTTGCGGCCGCAACCTTCCGATCCGTAGCCGTAAGATGATCAAGAAAAGCCTGCGCCTGCGCTAGACAAGTAACACGGGCAACACGGCCCACGAATACCGATTTCTTCTCAGAGACCACGTCCGAGAGGATCCATTCGGGCGGGGCATCGATGCCGAATGCGTCGCGCAGGGACAGAGCTTCAAAGGCCTCGGTGGTGGTTGATGCGTCGACAGTTGGTGTTTGAGTAGACGAGTCCCCGACATCGTCCTGGCCGATACTCAATTCCGGGAATACATCGACCGCCTCGCTGATTACATCGAATAGACACACGGCGCCGGCTTGCCAGGTCCGCTGTATGATATCCTCTAATACATCAATGGCGATCTTGCCTTCCCCGCGTGCCGCGGTCGATGCTGTTCCCAGTACCGCGGGTCGGGAGTCTGGGTATGAGGCTTCGAAGCCGAGGATAAAAGACAGGTGTTGTTGTTCTGGGATTTGGAGAGTGACCACTGTTGTATGGATGTTGTTATTGGAGTGCGCGGAACTCCCGAGGTCAAGTGTGTTGTTGGTTGTCGCATTTGCGGGGGTGGTGCGGGTCACGGTTACTGTGTTGGGATCGTAGATGGCGTTTACAGCTTCAATTTCTTCGGCGAGGTCTTGATTCTCGGAGATTAGAGGCATTGTGTTTGGAGAGCTTGCAGCTCGTGCGGGGTGAGGGTTTAATTATTTGTGAGAGTCCACGGTGGACCCCACAGTTTACAGTAGGACCTCTGAAATATTGGGCTAAACCTTCGTACCAAGATATACCGCCCTCGAAATTCTGCCAGTTCTGCCGGTCAAAACCATATAGTTAGCAGTCAAAAGTATGTACCTAAAGAGACTGCCAAAAGATCCCTAGAAAGATCACTAAAAAGACCTCTAAAAGACATATGGAAAGACTATCGGAGAAGACTACCTAAGAAGACCACTAAGAAGACTACGGCTGTATAAGGGACGACTATTATTGTGGCAGTATGTTTAAAAGGCAAGCGGTATACAGGGCGGTATATCCACATGCGTAGGTATGTAGGTACGTAGTTAGCCCAATATTTCGGAGGTCTGTATCAGGCACCCACTGTTATCAGGCATTTAGGTATATTTTGATGTCGACTGAGAATTTTGCTACGGCGTTTATAATGGGAATAAATCTAAACTTTGAAGCAAAGCACCTTTTTCATTTCAGCTGAGATGACAAGAACCAAACCATACTTGTACACTGGGACACACAAAGACAAGCTGACGTCGACATCGACGCATCCCAGCAAAGGCTTCGGCGTGGTGCACAGATGTCAGTTAACATCTCCGGGGGGGAGGACAACGGATTCTGGGTGGGTTAGGCCCGGGGGCTGCCTTATCGGAGTTGAATAGCGAAGTGAGATGCTAGAATGTTGGCCGGAGGCATCAATAGTGGTGGATTGCGTCCGTTACAGGTTAGTTGAGATAGACGGAGGCCGCGATCGGGTTGCCACGCCGGTATCATAGGCCACCACCTCTTCCTATAACTATACCTCGACCGCAAAGCCCCGGGTGTCTTTGATTTTGAAAAGAAGGATAATTTCTTTGGCACCGTCCTAGTTATTCCACCACCATCGGACATCCCTCTAAAGCGATGCATGACCTTGGGAAGACCCAACTTCGACAACAAGGGACAACCAGGGTTCTTCTGCCGGTGGTATCCCGAGAAAGGGCACCCCACACGGGGCGAAGTTTATAGACTGATCGAGATCTAGCCCGTCATCTCCACGTCTTCTTACACACTGCTTGGAGTGAGTGGGAGACATCATTGCGGCCTTAGTGAACATACGCACCAGTACTCCAAGGATCTCATCATAGTTTCCGTCTCGGGTGGTGGTCTTATAGTCAGACCACTAGCAGCGGTTAAAACAAGTCACTTGGGTTAAATGTGCCAAACAGGCTCACCTTGGAATCGTTGTCAATCTTGAGGAAGACAAAGTCATACCCATCTGATGCTATGTCGTAAATAGTGCAGTCCTTCTTCTTCAGCTCCTTACGCAATTCCCATGTGAAGTTCTACCCAATACGGAAGAAGCCGATGAGCTAGTAGAGAAGCCCAGTGTATGTGTCGGAGTTCGTGCGACTGAGGATACCAGAAGATGACAATCGTGGGGTGGGGAGTGTACCGCAAGGGTTTGGCGCCAGTTTCATAGACTGTAAATCTGAAAAGAGCAACAACGAGGGAAAAAGAGTCGACCTCAGATATGATGCTTTTGGCAGGTCACAGGACACGTTGACGAGGTGAAGATTGGTTGATTAACGTGAGACAAGAGGAGTCAGTGTCATCGAAAAGAGAGGGAGCCAACATGGAGCATTGGAGATGGGAAAATGGTGAAAGGGAGAACGAATGCTTTCCAAGGTTGATGGAGTTGGAGGCTCCGAGTCAGAAACCTAACATTATGGGAAGGAGCAAAACAGTAACTGCCCAAGTGACTTGAAACCCTTAGAAGACTCTGCATAGAGTGAAAATAGCCAAATAATGCCCAGGTGACTCTGGCGTTCTATAATTTACGAGTACATAAGAATTAGAAGGCTTGACATGACGATGTCCTTGATTTTGACGTTGGACACTGCAGTACCGCAGGCAATATGTTTAAATACATGAAGCTGGAAATTCCTCCCATAGAAACAGGAACAAAAACAAAAACAAACAAGGCTTTTCAAACAGTGGAAGTGCCGACACATGGATGTTGATGATCTCCATGAAGGTGATGTTGACAATGAGCTGAGATTTGAAGACTCAGCAGGGCTGGCAAGTATCGACTGAGACCACAAGTACATGAAGCTTTGTCCATGCTTTGTCCATGTCGAGCCTGTACTTCCATGCTTTGTCCATGTCGAGCCTGTACTTCATTGGGGATCGGCAAATCCTGGCTGGGTTTCATTTGTTCGTATGGCATACCCACAATGCCAGTGATGTGTGGTTGCCAGCTTTGAAGCTCATACATTGTTCCCAAATTCCTAATTCTTTCAAAAAATCCTCCGTACATTGCAATAACCATTTCTCCTCATCCCATGTTCTCCGCGTATCCACAAGTCTCCCTCTCCCGTGGAAGCCCATCGCACGATGGACCATAGCAAGTTGATTTGTATGTCAAGGTGAGGTCCTTTCATTGAGTGATCCATGACCGTTCAAATATCTTTCAAGGGTGTGTCTGTGGTGTTGGGACATGCGCCTTCTTCTTTGCTTTGTGTCGCTGTCCAGGAGTGTGTTCGAGCGAGGTTGCGGGGAGTTTCTCCTTTTGTCCTCTTTTCTTTCTTGAGGGGTTGTCCAGTGGTGGGGGTATTTTGTATCAAAACGTGGTTTGGATTTTCTGTTGATGTGGTGTGTGCCTGGAGCTGAGAAATTAGAAATGTTAGTTTTGTCATTTGATATGCAAGGAGGACAATGTTCTGAAGACATACCACACTCCGAAAAATGTGATGTAGTAGATTTGCATGCAATGGTTGTCTCTATGAATGAGAACGAATATTGTCGATCATGAGTTGGCCGCCACGGTCAGGCTGGAAGTGGTTTGTTGAAGTGGTTGATCGAGGGGGTTGATTGAATTGGACTGATTGACCAGTCTGCCGATTGTCCTGAAGCCGAAGCCCGCCACGGTCAGACTGGAAAAGTGGGTGATCGATAAAGCGGTTGATTGGAGTGGGTTTGGCGAAGTGGGTTGATTTTAGTAGTTGTTTCACTAGCCTGCCGATTGTCCAGAAGCCGAAAGGCCCGCCACGGTCAGACTGGAAGTGGTTTGTTAAAGTGGTTGTTCGAGGGGTTGACCGAAGTGGATTGATTGACCAGCCTGCCGATTGTCCTGAAGCCGAGAGGCCCGCCACGGTCAGGCTGAATGTGGTTGATTGAGATTGTTGATTCAAGTGGATGGTTCAAGTGGATTGCTTGACCAGTCTGCCGATTGTCCTGAAGCCAAAAGGCCCGCCACGGTCAGACTGGAAGTGGTTGATTGACGTGGTTTGTTGAAGTGGATCGTTGAAGTGGATCGTTGACCAGACCAGCCTGCCGATTGTCCTGAAGCCGAAGCCCGCCACGGTCAGACTGGAGGTGGTTGATCGAGATTGTTGATTGGAGTGGTTGCTTGATTGGACTGATCGAAGTGGTTGATCGAGGTGGTTGGTTGAAATGGATGGTTGACCAGTCTGCCGATTGTCCTGAAGCCGAAGCCCGCCACGGTCAGACTGGAGTTGGTTGAACGAGGTAATTGAACGAGGTTGTTGATCGAGGGGCTTGACCGAAGTGGACTGATTTGCCAGCCTGCCGATTGTCCTGAAGCCGAGAGGCCCGCCACGGCCAGGCTGGATATGGTTGATCGAGGTAGTTGATTGAGGTTGTTGATCGAGGTGGATGATTCACTAGAACAGCCTGCCGATTGTTTCCTGAAGCCGAAAGGCCCGCCACGGTCAGACTGGGAATGGTTAAACGTGGTAGTTGAACGAGGTTGCTGATCGAGGGGGGTTTATCGAGGGGCTTGACCGAAGTGGATTGCTTCACTAGCCTGCCGATTGTCCTGAAGCCGAAGCCCGCCACGGTCAGACTAGGAGTGAATGATTAAAGTGTGTTGATTGACCAATCTCTTGATGAGGTGGATGATTGAGGTGGATGGTTGAATGGATGGTTGACTTGACTGGATGGTTGACTGGATAGTCGACTGGTGCTTGGCTGGATGATTGACTTGACTGGATGATTGACTTGACTTGACTGGACGATTGACTTGACTGGATGGTTGGTTGACTTGACTTGACTGGATGGATGGGTTTGACTGGATGGATTCCTAAAAAGCAGAGGAGAAACAGTTTCCCTGCGTCAGCCATTGGACTGGTGAGGTCTTCCACTCGTTGATGCGAGCCAAAAGAACCATTTTAGTTGATAACGCTAGAGTTCTCACCTGGTATGAGAGATCGAATTGACTGGATGGATGGTTTGACTGGATGGATGGTTTGACTGGATGGATGGTTTGACTGGATGGATGGTTTGACTGGATGGATGGTTTGGCTGGATGAAGGATTGGCTGGATGAAGGATTGGCTGGATGATAGACTGGATGGTTGACTGGATGGTTGACTGTATGGTTGATTGACTTGACTTGACTTGATGATTGACTGGATGGTTGACTGGATGGTTGACTGATGTTTTTTTTTTTTTAAGCTCAGTGAGAAGTGGAACAGGGCCTTGCGATAAGAGTCAAATAGCGGCAGTAGGTCGGCAATGGATGAGGCACTACGTGGATGAAGCTCCAGTTGGCTATTGCGGACATCCAAGCAAGCGTCAGGCTGTTTCAGAAGATTGGTTGGTAGTAGTCTAGAGTGGCTAGTCACGGAGCCACCGTTAGCAGGTTGATTCATAAATGAGGATCGAACATCACCTGCGAGTGGCATTTACCAATCATGAATGTATTCAAGTTGAAGATGGCATTGCAAGATAAAGTAACAGACCGGGCCATGGGAGCCTGAGTCTTGTTTTGGGTATTCAGAGGTGTGGACATGTGGGGTTGGGTGGACAACATGGTCATGTCACAAGCAGAGATGGAAGGAGACTCCATGGAGAAGCTCCAGGTTGGAAAGTTGTCATGGAAGTTTGCAAGGTCCACACATCTGGAAAAGTCAGCTTGATGCAATGGAAAGTGGTGAAGGTCGACGGAAGATGGAAGGTTGATAGGGGTAGTGGGTAAGGGGAGGGTAACATGTGACTAGGAGATACTCACAGTTCTCAGTACGAATGAAAGATGGGAAATTGGAGTAATCAAATTCATGGGCCCTTGGGGCTGTGAGTCAAGTATTGGTCAGTCAAGAGTTGTGGCAGGTAGTGAAAAGTAGACTTGCCAGTGGGGTCGACATCATGGGCCGAGTGATTATAGGAATCCATGCGACATGTCGGTATTATGGTCTGTCATGGATGTATAGATGATGGAGGATGTTATGAGACCCAAGCTGATGATGGAAGACTTGATGGAAGAAGGGTGGTCGATGAAATGGGAGATGAAAGAGATGGGAAGATGAAAGAGGAAGAAAAATTTCCGGAGGGAAAAGGAGGAAGGGGGTATTTATACATGGGAGGGGGACTGGCTGTTGAGGAAGGTGCCCGTTTGGGAAGGGGCGGCTCACACGGTTTCCCTGCACCTGCCATTTGGACTACCCTCCTGGGCCTGGGGTTATTACCCCCGAGGGCTTAGGTGTACATACCCAAGTCTCCAGTCCAGTATCCTATGGACCAAGGATCTGGAAAGGTCACTCGTCTGTTCTATTTGTTCTCTTTTGAACAGGCTTCCCACTCAGACCTTGTACAATGCACAATGATTGAGTGAAACTGCTTGGTCTGCGCTCCGTGAGTTTCTACTTCCTCCTATCGTTGCTCGGTACCAACTGAAATAGATGTGGAATTCTACTAAAGCCTTTGAAAACACCTTCCTTCATCTTGTTTTTAGCCTCTAAGTGGGACAGGTCGACTGGGCACACACGGAGCATCCCTACGCATTCCAGTCTTCGATAATGCATATGAATGACGAGTTAAAGACCAACATACTACAACACCGACAAGCGGTGGGAACGGGTCCGTGATCAACTACCGCAAGACCGCGCTGGTCCTATGACACCTGCACTGCCGTATCGGATATAAGACGGATTTACTCTGTCCAGGTCGAATGCACCGAGTTTGGACTTGAAGGACGAACTCATCTGAGGTTGCATACTCCATACGTTGCCGCGTTGTATTTCTTCTTAAAGGCTAGTCAGATCGCTCAAGCTGCAATGGCGAAAGCTTCCAGCCAGGCAGAGAACATCTTAGACCCAGAGGAGGACAGACTCTCGAACTGGGACGAACAAGACCTACCTAGGTATTGTACGAGGTGCAAAGTCAGAACCAGCACATAACATGGTCAACGACTCGATCTACCCAGCTGACTTGACCAAACCTATGGCCGAGATCCTCTAGTTGGTCTATGCTACCAATAGGGGTAAGCGTCCCCGGGATTAGGATAGTTAGGACGAGGGACCTCGCGAAGGACCGTCCAACCTAAAGATCAGAACGAAAGCTCAGTGTCGTCCTCCCTAAGCTTTGAGTGGGTCTTAGGTGACATGTCAATCAACTGAGGGAGGGACATTCCCACCCGGGTTGCCCATACCTTACCCCATGCGTAACAAAGCCACTCACCGAAAAAAGTGACTTGATATGTATCAATATAAGGAGAATATCTTGACTATTCTAATATGGTTTAGCCCGACTCAAAACAACTCATTCTGAAGGCCCTAGACAAGTTTAATACTGGAATTGGTCAACTTCTCGATGGCCCTAAGATTGATAGCCCATCGAATGCCGTTACCTTGACCCCATACTACCACCGCCTGATCGGCGAGTTCAAGATCTATTTCGAAAAATATAGGCAACTCGCCAATACAGGATTGAATTAGCGACAGCTTTCTCTCGGGTCCCTTTCTTTCCGGTCACGCGCTCAACTCCTACCCAGCCCGAAGCGCCAATTGATCCCCCAACTCCCGTCTGTTCGCAGTACACAATGTTATTGCCCTTATTGTGGGGATGAGCGGCGCATGAGAATATACCGAGAAAATTCTTGGGGACATGGAGGACCATGTGTCCACGTTTATCCCGAGACAACATGTATCTATACAATCATAACAAAGAAGAAGTTATTCGAACCCAAACGAGCTGTTTCAGATGTCATTTCTAATGTTATTTTTAAGTACGATCTAAAGGCCTCTTATTTCACGTTTCCATATCTTGTCACGCCTCATACTTTAGCCGGTGTGGCGAATATTACAGGTATCAAGCCACAATGGCTTGGACGTAACCAGGATTCAACGTTGAAGAATTTCCTTGGCATGACAGTAGTGGCGTAAAAGGCCGCCTTGTCACGATGGTCCCAAAAGACTGTCATGCTTGTCGATGACTGAGATATGGCCAATAACGTGATGTTCTCGGTACAGCCCCGAGCGACTTCCCAAAAGCATTTTTGAATCAATTTGATCAAGAAGCCAGAACTTTCTCTCTTGGCAGTATGCCCATTCAAGAACGCAGAGTCTAGTGAATGGCCGTTAGTTAGTATAGTCATTTGCACAGGTGCCCCGTTTCTGATGGAACCGGGGGGTCTTGAGTACATGTATCTCGGAAAGCCCCTTGGAACGCCACCAATCATGTCGTTTCCGTCGTCATTTGGTATCAGGGCTGTAATCCCTGGCCTTATTGTCACACAGCGTAGGACAAATAGCACCGATGGAACGATATAGTTCGAAAGCTCAGATCACATCCGAAGGATTTACCTGCATTAGTGCAATCTCTGCAAGTTTCTCCGGATTGAAGATCATCCAAGATAGATTGTCGGCGGAGTTGCCACCCTGTGGACACCAATCACACGTGTCGCTCTGATTGGGTGCCTGGCTGCCTTGGCTGCCTGACGGATCCGCCTTCGTCTCTTCCCCAGATCTCATCTCTAGTCTCGTCTGTCTTTCTTCTCATACCTTTCGCTTTTTGTATTTATATCGCGCCTATCTATTCCATCTTTTAGGCCTAGCACGGTTAACCCGCTCTATTCGTTTCAAGGGCCGCGTCGCTGGTGATCTTCCGCTTCGCATATCTATCAACGGAGATCTCCACTGCCTATCACAACGCTAGCGCCCATCAGTCACCGACCACCGTCATACCTTGAACCCCATCGTTCGTTCGTTCATTTTAGCTCCTCCAACTACCCAAGCCTCTCGCTTCTGGCCACCGCTTCGCCATGCTTGGAGAGGGCCGAGAGGAGGCCGCCAGGCTATATGTTCCCCCACTGCTTGAAGATAACGAACGTCTCGACGATCCCGAAGCTTCCGAAGACCTGCCACCGCCCGACGTCGAGACAGGCACTCTTCCTGTCTGGTTGCGGGAATCATCCAAATCGTTTCGCTGGGATGGGTGCCGCTACCGCTCCGAAAAGTTGGTCGCGCCACGGCCAATTGGGTCAAGGGTCCCGATCCGCCGCATATGCTTCTGTTGAAGCCGCTGTTTCCGCGAGTCCAGGAGCTTCCAGTCCAATACCTCGACCGTTTTTTTCCCAAGCGCAAATTTAAGACTGTACTCTTATTGCTGCTCTACACATCTTGGTTCTTGCCTTGGTTCTTGGTTTTATTACACTCACGTTCTTCTGGTTATATCGAAGGGTTCGGTCGGCCTCAGACACTGTCATGTTTAACGAACTTCTGGTATGTGCCGAAATAGCACCCGATCTAGGTATACCGTGCTAATGCGATTGCTTTAGGGAGTTCGGCAATGGATGTGGTATTAACGGAAACGACTGCCGCCCATTTTCTTCGTCGACTATTCCCTTCAGGTGTCCTGCGAATTGCCGTGATGCCAAATTACTGGAGCCTTACGTTGTGGGAAATCATACATACAACTACCAGGGCCTAGTAATCGGAGGTCCTAAGCCGGATTCCTCCGACGCCGCAATTTACCGTGCGGATAGCTTTGTTTGCCAGGCAGCGATCCATGTCGGTGCAATTTCGAACGATGGCGGCTGCGGTGTTGTCAAGTTTGAGGGAGCAGCGCACTCTTTCCCATCGGTAAAGCAACACGGTATTCTCTCTGCCGGGTTCCCGTCGACCTTCCCGAAGGCTTTCAGCTTTCTCCAGCTATCCTCGCCCCAAACTAGCTGCCCGTCAGATCCGCGCTGGACGCTTCTTGGAATCACTGCTGCTGCCGTTGGTATCCTGTGGCTCTTCTGTACATCACCGCCTGTGCTGTTTTTCAGTACATTCTTCATGGTGTTCTGCCATACGGGACTTGTTGGCGATCCGCCCTCGTATCCATTCCTGGCCGACCTTGTCTCCAGTCTTCTGTCACGGCTGCTGCCAGCGTCGTTTGTCGTCTATGTACTTTACAAGTTCTGTGCAGCGCCGCTTTTGCAACCGATCTCCTCGCCTATCTACCAGCTTTCAAAGTTGTTCCTTTTCCTACCCCGCTTTTCATTGGAGCCCTGAACAACTATACCTTTGCGCGGTTGATTCCCTTGCAGCGCCTAACTCCGATGGACATCCAGAAACAACCCGGGGCAAAATTGGCATTGGCTCTTGTCATCCCAATTGTGATTTCGATTATCCTGAGCCAGGCGTGGCAAATTCGTCAGGGAGGTCTGCTCCCACGGTACTTGAAGATATACGGTACCATGGGGATCATTATCTTGATTCTGCTTCCGCTACCTGGTCTTCGCCTTCGAATTCACCATTATATCCTCGCCATTCTCCTCATGCCGGGCACTGCCTTTCCCACTCGGCCTTCACTCATCTACCAAGGTCTGCTGCTGGGTCTTTTCATCAATGGAGTTGCGCGGTGGGGCTTTGCCTCGATCATCGAGACTCCGGCAGCTCTAGGAGAGCAAGCCCCGCTTGGAGATGGAATCCATGGCTGGTGGGGTGCTACCTATCCCAATATCACGACCGCATCTGTGAATGTTTCCCTGCCAGAGGGATCCGACGACACTTATCGCGGCAATGGCAACATCACATTCTCTCTGTGGGAACACGAGCGTATGTCGGATCTATCAGTGGACGGCATTTCGGTTCTTCTCAACGATGTGGAGCGCTGGCGTGGCTATCTCGATGAAGACGAGCGCGGAGAATTCACCTGGCACCGCCATGGCCATGATGGCCTGGAGCTACAGACAAATCCTCGTCTGGTCAGTCGTGATTTGAACCCCGACGTTGACCCCAAATCTGTTGTTTTGGCTGATAGTGATCCCGGCGATAAGCCCGAAGACCTATTTTTCCGATTTGCATTTTTGAGAGGGTCCGAGGCTGGCATTTACAGCCCGACAGGAGTCTGGTTGAGTGATGGCGCGTGGTGGCCCCCTGCGCCTCCCAAGAAATAGATATGCGATCCCTTCGCATTGGAGACTGTGTTTTTTTCTCCCGTTATATCCAAATTTGGCAAGATAGATTGTAAACTTTCGGTTCATGTGTGCTGGACGCGCTGTGCCCACTGGAGTACAAGGCCTTTGCTCGATCACTCTAGTTCATGACTGCTCATGTTGAATGAAGATATCACATATTATGATTGCTCATATACGGCTCATATACATTTAAAATTCAATATATCCCCGTTCATATATATGTCTGCCTGTCCTTAACGGAAAATTCATATTCATACCACGTGATCGTACCGACACGAGCCAAGGCAGCCACAATTTGGAGCTTCTTTCGTACCTGATTCTGGCAATTACTATTACACTATACGTCGTATCTTGAAATCATGGAATCCGGGGGATCCGATCATGAGCGACGCGAGGCGCCAAGCGCACTAGTCCGACGCGCGGTAGGTGTTGGCCCCTAGACAAGTCGCAAGTTTAGAACAAAATGCGTTGGGGTAAAGATACAGCGTTGACCAATCAAATATTAATTATGTATGCATACAGTGTGATCAATGTCGCCTCCGAAAGGTATGCAGCTGCAGCTCCGAGTCACACAATGTCGTGCTTCCATCTCATGTCGTCACAGATCCGATGCGATAAGCGCACGCCATGTTCCAACTGTCGCAGCTCCGGCATTGCATGTCGATCTACCGGCGAAGGCCAGAAGCCCCAAGAGCCCCGGCGGCGGGTCTTAATCTCAAATCAATAGTATGATAATCTTCTCCTGTCATAGGACAATATTGACTCGACCACAGTGAGAAAAAGATCGATTTGATCGAGGAACGCCTAGCAAGCATTGAAAGTACTCTTCAACAGCTAGCAAAAAACACATCTCAACTACAAGGCTTTACAGCGCCTAACCCGCGCGAGACTCGTTTCGCCCCTTCACCTCAGAAGTCAACCCCTTCGCAGCCGTCATCCACTCCAGGAAACACTGGAAAGCCAAAGGGGCCTTGGTATCTAGCTAATCCTACTATCGAACAGCATGATTCCAACTCTGCCTTTGAGGGCAGCTCATCTCTGACTGCTCATGGGGCCTACGCGAGCGCGTTCCTAGAATCTGCCGTATCCAAAAGTTCGCCACAGGTTTTGTCAAGCCCGAAGATCAACGCGGCTCTCGCGTCGCTGAAGCAGCTTGTCGGGATTCAGAGCCAGCGGCGAGAAGCGGACTTGCAAGGGGGCCAGCTCCCCATGAAGAATGCGAGGCTAGGTGTGAGACGCGACATTCGTGATTTAGAGATGCCGCCTCTGTCAGTGGTTCTAGACGTGTTGAGAAAGGTTCAAGGTATGGTTGGTCACAAAGAGATGTATCCAGCTTCTGATTCTTACTCGACTAGAAAAACCACCGGCCTGCTTTGGTGGCTATGTCCCCTTCATGAGTGTGCAATATTTCGCCGAAAAATGCCGAGAAGTCTACTTCTGCATAGAAGATTACTCCGATACGGCATTTGTTGTGACCAACTTTTGCCTGTACAGCGTTCTCTACGAATATGACGCCGAGGAGAAGGACACCAATACCCGAGAAGAGCGCCAGAACTACATTCAGATGTGTCGCGACAATCTGGAGACAGCTCTTGCCAATTTGAATATCTTGATGCCTGCAACCTATGAATCTATCATGGCGTTAATATTGGGAGTCAGTCCCCCATTTCATTTTTGTTCTTTTGTCGGATATACCCCGTCCGGAATCCTTACTTACAAATACAGGCTATGCATGCACTCGAAATTTCTAAACCATCAGTTGCCTGGACGCTAGCATCAACGGCCATGAATCTGTGCCAGACACTGGGGTATCATCGCTTCACCTCAATGGAGCACGACCCCGTACCAGTGCAGCGTCAAAAGCAGCTTCTATTCTGGTCCGTCTACACAGTTTTAAGCATGATGTCCCTACGTTTCAGGACGTGCCCCGTCCATCCATAACTACGATATCAGCCTGCCAGCGCCCGATGAGAGTATAGGTGTCCCCGAGCCATGGGGGCCCGTCTGCGTGTGCTGGACTAGATCGGCAATTATCCAAACTGATATTTACCGATATTTGTATAGCCCAGAGGCACTACAAAAACCAGAAAGCGAACGAGTCACACATGCTCATAGACTAGCCGCTGAGATGCAGTCGAAAGTTATGGAGCCGTTTGAGGTAACCTCTCTACCGTTTCTTGGGATGTAATCGAGTGAATGAATTGCTAACGTGAAACACCTAGAAATTCATGTCGTCCAAACCTAAAGTATCCGAAATGGACCTCATGTACCTCGCAACTGATAAGGTGAATCGGCTGGCCATCATGACCTTGATCTACCGAGCAATTCCAGCATCAACTGACTCGGGCCGCGTCGCCACCTTCATACCCGAATGCGTTGAGACAGCACGGGAGGCCCTGGAAATCCACCGACAGTGCGTCGCTGCGCTCAACGAGACAGACTATATCATGAAAATATCCTACATGCACTGGTAAGCCGTCTGAAACGATCCCAGCAACAGCTCCATTTATGACACAATCATCGCATAACCTCGAAACAACAAATTCTCACATTCGAATTTCAGGGCCATCCTCATGTCTCCCTTCGTCCCCTTCATCGTAATATTCTGCAACATAATAACAACCTCCAACGCCGACGACCTCGCCCGACTGGAAGAGTTCGTCGCCTCCCTCCAGCCACTAAGCACCTTCTCCCAGTCCATCGAGCGACTGTACAACCTGTCCTCTGTTCTCGGCACCGTCGCCCGCCTCTACTTCGAAGCCAACACCCGGACCCAGACAGCCGCAGACCAAAACCAGAATCTCATTGAAGTCGGTCAAGAATTCGATGTTTATCTCAGTGCGCTCGGATTGGCACCTACGAACCCTATGAATCCTCCAAATAGTAGTTCTCAGATGGGAAACTCGCAGGGGTATTTCCCAGATAATCCTGGTATGGATGTTAGTTCGGCGGAATTGCCACAGCAGAACGCGGGTGGTTTCCCCGCGCCGGTCGATTCATATCAAGCACAGGGACAGGATTTGGGGACTGCTGCACAGTTGGGGAATTGGTTCTGGGGGAATCAGTATATGATGGGGCTTTTGGAGGAGGATTTGTCGCAATTCAATCCCGGGTGGCCGTCAAGAGACTAGGGTGGTTTATCTTAGGCTATGTATATCATGTTGTATATTAGTTTTAATTTCTCCCAAATACCAATTTCAACTTCCATACATATCGCCCCTTCACTCCAACAAAACTTTACATCCTTCTGCACTCATGACCACAATTGTCAAAGCTTGCTTCTCCTCACCAGGTGGAACAATAGGTGTTTCAGGTGGTAACCTGAGCTCGGGGAATGTTTGAATGATTCGTATAATTGCATGCGAAGCCTCTGTCAGTGCAAATTCCTCTGTCAATCCAGTTAGTACAAATGCTCTACAGACTACTCCCATAACCTAAATCACTTACTGCCTAGACATATCCTCGGCCCCCCATGGAAAGGCATGAATCCCCAACCAATACCATCTAACTCCGAACCCAGCCATCTCTCCGGACGGAAACTGTTCGCGTCTTCACCGTATACACTCTTTAGTCTGTGCATGTGATATACTGAATACCCAACTCCCGTGTTTTTGGGTATTAGGACCGGGGATTTGCCATTGGGGCCACCTCCGCTCGGGAGAAATGTCGTTTTAGCAGCTACGCGGACGTTCACTGGAAGTTGCGGGTATAGTCGTTGAGCTAGATACAAAGTCAGCATGTATCTAAATTAGAAGACTGGATTGGTAATAGACTCACTTTCATTGATGACACATCGGAGATAAGTCATCTTGCTAATTTTTGCCCGGCTCAGATCACGCGATCCTCCGGTGACAAGTTGTATCTCGTTGCGAAGTTTCGCGAGAGCTTCGGGATGTCGCACGAGAAGGAAAAATGCCCATGACATTAGACATGCCGTCGTGTCCCTTCCAGCAATAAGTACATGGACCAATTGGTCTCTCACGAGAACCGGGTCCTGCATCTCCTTGTAGAGTTCCAGGATGAACGCGTGCCTCTCGGACGCTGCTTCCTCGCCATTTTTCTCCATATCGTCGAGGGCAAGCTGTACGAAGTGAGACGCATATTCTTTCACGACGGCACAAGCTTTCCTGAATTTAGCGGGCTTGTATATCCATTCCAAATCAGCAAGGCGAAGTCTGATCGCACTGATATAGCTGGAATAGTCAAAGGCCTTCTCAAAGGTATCGGTCTCTTCTCCTGGCAAGGCAACGACTGGTTCTCCGAAGATGAGCGCTGTTGTCGTGGCTAGAGTAAAGCGCAGGAGATGAGGTTGTAAATCCACCACGCCATTTGCAGAGCGGAGATTGGAAACCAAGTTTTCCACGTGTTCATCGAAAATCTTGGAATCCTGCCGGTGGATCCGTACGAATTGGCGGCGAAGTAACTCCCTCGAATGTTTCCATGGACGACCATCTTGCGTGAAAATGCCTTCACCTAGCATAGGCATAAGACCAGGTCGCCGGGAGCCAAGACACCAATCTTTCGAGTGTAAGAGAAGATCTTTAAACAGAGTATTTGGGTAAATAAATACCTTCAAAATTCGTTGAGAGTATAGATTCCACGTTCTTCGGGTCCGCAGTGAGATAGCCCTGGTTTCCAAACAGCTTAAATGTCATGTTAGGTCCGATCCTGTCAAAGTACTGGGATTGAAATAACAGTAGTCGCTGGTCTGGCAATGCATCATATTGCCGTTTGAGGATATCAAGCGCTAAAGGCCATTTGTAAGGAATCCATGTCTCCATCGGTAAACAGCCGTGCTTATCACCGAATGATTTGTCGTGCTAACGCTGTTAATTACCTGGATCCGATATCAAAGTAGGCCACTCACGACATATCTGCGCCAGCTTTGTATAACATGATATAGGATGTAATTGAGAATAATGAAGATGAAAGTAACACCCCATAAGTTTATCGTGTTAGTGTTGCTTCCCAGAGGGCTTTGAAACCATTGCAATAGGCTCATGCTGAAGGTGACCGAAGGAATGAATTATGTATGTGAGGAGGAGGATTGAAAGGGCATCTGGAGTCATTAGTTACATGCCCAGTAATTATTTACAGGAGAAGTCAAGGTCTTTGAAGAAAGTCGGAATTTCAACCCGTCACGCTTTATCTCTGGGGCACGGTTCGCTCGGGCCTTCCCATTTTTGGGGGCCACTTTTCTCCACATATTTTGAGAAAGGTGATTGGTCCAAATCCCGAAACAGGAAGAAATACACGGCTCCTACTGGCTGACACATCTCAGGGACTGCCAGATGAGGGTTAAACTTGCAAATAGAAGTAGTCACACCGATTGAATCCAGTACTATATGAGGGTCTATAGGGATATACCCCGTACAGCCATTTCTGGACTGTCAATTGAACATTTTGGACCAGCCACAAGTAGGAACACGTGTGACAAGTCCACGGGTGGGCACAAGCAACCTTTGGAAAGCTCTGCCAACGGGCCGGCCCTTCAAAAGGATCCACCTGGTAATTTGTATTCCGCGTTCTCTTTGTATTTTACCTTGTTGCAGCCTTGCAGTCCATGTGCTAGACTACATACAGTCTAGTACTATATTGTACGATCAATATCTCCAAGCGTTCAAGCCTTACATGTTGGGAGAGAAGCAGAATCTAGATATGAATATCCTGGACTCGCCCCATTTTATTCATATAAGTATGTGTCTTGTGGCGTGCTCGCTTGTGTCGGTTAGACAGTTTTGCACCTTTGCTTTTTCTGGGCTGAAGCGCCACTCTCGTATTTACGTGATCGGCAATCTGTTGTCAAAAATTCGTTTCTGTTTAATTGGTTGTCGTATTGCTGCAGAGTGCCGAGAAACCCGTTCAGCGGCCGGCTTACCTCGAAGTATCAAACAAGACTAGCGTCGCCAATGCATTTTTAGTGCAGATACTCATGGGGAGCCCCCTCGTTTCCATATCCACAGCCCCCAGTAATCTTCGGAGAAGTCGCCTCCATTCTACGGAGTATCTTTTCTATATTTCCTCGACCAGAGTTTCCACTTCCAAATTATGGACCCTTTCTCCATTATAGTGGGAACTGTGGGTTTGGCAGACGTCTCCATCCGTGTCATTACTTATCTCAGCTCTCTCAAAAGTGCAACCTCCAAAATTCAGGATGAAATTACCATCCTGGGACAAGAAATCGAAGCTCTCGTGGCTGTAAATGACTCAGTCGAGGACTTCTGGCATTCAAGGCATGACCTGGATGGCTTTGATGTGTCAGCCAATGATGGATCTCATGCTAGTAATGTTTGGAAGAACTTAGCATCGCTGTTGCAGCAAAGCAAGGGAACTATTGAACAACTCGAGGTATTGCTGAAGGAGGTGGTCGGCAAGAAACATGCGCTCGTAGGGGGCAAGCTCGATGGTCTTAGAAAGACGATCCGACGACAGGATCGAGATGGAGAATATATGCAAATACGCCAGCGCCTCGCCAATAACCAAGCCGGTATCCAGATGTTATTGAGTGCGCTTAATCTGTATGTCCGAGAAATCATTCATGGTATATGTATGTAAAAAAGGCTAACCAAGCGCAGCTCCTACACGCTCAAATCGCATGCAGCAGCGGACCAGACTGTGGACTCGCTACCAGAGAACTTGCAGCACCAAAACAATAAGCTCGCAATAAGAATAAAAAATCTGCGCCGGATTATGCAAGGCTCAACCGACCCAGACAATGTGAGTTAATCAGGATCTCTATGGATGTAGTATAAACGCTAATCTCTGCAAGCTCCATGATTCCCTCGTTTCCGCGGACGCAGTGGCATCTCTCATTAGGTTCAACAAGCATTTCGACATGCCTCAAACAGTCAGCAGTTATTACACGGGTCGACAGAAGCAGTTAGATGTGCTTAAGTCGACACTCGACGTCGTCAATTCTCGCGAACCTCAAGACCACCAAAAGCGCTTCGTCATTTATGGTCTTGGAGGTTCTGGGAAAACACAATTCTGTTGCAAATTTGCGCAAGACAACCGGGAACAGTGAGTTTAGTTTCACATGTACATGGGACAATTTTAACGATCTCTAGTTTCTGGGGTGTCTTCTGGATTGACGGGAGTTCGTACGAAAATGCAAAACATTCCTTCGCGGGAATTGCCAAAATTGGTGGCGTCGAACCCAACGAAAATGCGGCAAAGAACTGGCTTTCTAGTTTACAGCAACCCTGGCTACTTCTCATCGATAATGCGGACGACCCTGAAATCGACGTGATGCGCTACTTTCCAGGAGGGGAAAGAGGCGTGATTCTTATCACCACTCGCAATCCTACGAATAAAGGATATGGGACGGATGGTTCCCGCTTCTTTCACTTCGACAAGTTGGAGAGCGAAGAAGCTAGTGACCTCCTTTTGGCGGCTGCCGCTTCCCCACGTCCTTGGGGGGTACCGACAAGATCCTACGCCAAGCGAGCCGCGCAAATCCTAGGCTTTTTGCCTCTTGCACTCATTCATGCCGGAAAGGCCATCTTGGAGAAACTGTGTTCTTTGAGTGACTATCCAGAGTACTACGAACGAACGTGGAATAAAATCCGCCGTGACCGAACTCGAAGGTCCTCTCATAGTCACGAGGATAACCATGCGTTGAACATGAGTGTGTATTCTTCATACGAGATGATATATCTCGGTCTCGAAAGTAAAAACAATGACCAATCCAGGGATGCCATTGAACTACTGAAGACATTCTCATTCTTCTACTGGGAGAACATCGAGTTTGATCTCCTAACAAATGCAGCATCGAACCCTCGGCGAGAACGAGAAGATGCACGAGCCAAGGAGCGCATGGTAAAACCAGTAGCGGTCCACCCAAGACCCAAAACATGGACGAAAGCATTTCGTGACTGGGCCGCTTCAGTAATAGAACCGCTTACGAGACCAAGTATTATCCTGCCTGCTGTTCTGCGTGACGAGGACGACGACCCATTCGATGAAGACCGGCTACGCAGCGCCCTGTCTCTTCTAGTTCGTCTTGGTATGCTGACACTTCACGATGACAACAATAGTTATTGGATGCATCCACTGGTCCACACCTGGGTGCGACAGAGGCCTGAGACAAGTACGGCAGAGCAAGCCGTTTGGTGTCAAGCAGCAGCCACGATATTGGCACAGTCGATTTTTTTCCAAGCTCCGCGTGCATATACGGCCCAGGATGAGAAGACAAAGAGACAAATATATCCACACGTGGAGAATGTGCGGAAATTACAGGCAGATATCAAGAAACGGTTCGAAGAAAACCAGAGGGCTCCTCACTGGATTTGGCCGTTGAGGTTGCTGGCGCCTCAGCCGGGCTTTGGGAGGCTGCAGGCGACTGAATATGCGAAATTCAGTTTGGTTTACCTTCATTGCGGGTACTGGTCCAAAGCCGAAGAGCTTCAGCTTCAAGTAAAGGACTATTTATTTGCAAAGCTGGGACCCGAGTCCGAGTATAGCATTGCCATTGCGTTCTTACTGTCCAGGAACTATGTTTGGCAGACACGGAACAACGAGGCGAGAGTGCTACAATACCAAGTCCTGGATTCTGCGAAAAAGCTATATGGTCCAAATCATCCTACAACGCTACAGATCATGGATACCCTTGGTGCCACGTGTGTCTTGAGCAGTAGATACCGAGAGGCATATCGGCTACACCAAGAAGTTATCGAAAGTCTGTCGAGGTTGGAAGGGTTCGGTCCAGAGCATGAAGCAACATGGACCGCCCTGGATAATCTTTCCAAAGTCAAGCTTCGCTATTTTGAGCATGAAGAGGCGGTTAATCTACAACTGCAAGCATATGAGGGGATGCAAAAGACGCTGGGTCCTATGCATGAGAAAACCTTAGAGGCTAAAGACAATCTTGCCGCTATATACGGGTTTATTGGCGAGAAGTATCTTCCACTTGCTCTTCAGATGAGTGAGGAGGTTAGATCGATCCGGAAAGAAACACTGGGGCATGAACACCCTCTTACACTCAAATCCACGTTGACCGTCGCGAAGATCAAGACTGCCATGAATCAGTTTCAGGAGGCTGAACAAATCTTCCTAGAAGGGTTGCCCATTGCTAAAAGGAACCTGGGTGAAAATCACCTAGGAACTCTCACAGCTCGAACCTGGCTTGGACACCTCTACTGGCGTCAAGAACGGTATTCGGAAGCGCAGGCCATCTGGGAAGATATAGTTACAAAGCAGACATTTGAACAGACGAAACGGCCAGATGGGGGGCATGGGGATCGAGGTAAGTGGTATTCCTATGATTTGGCAATTAACCGTCAACACAAGAGTGATGCAAAGCGGTCTTTACTGATATATTATTGTCATATCTAGTTCAAGTAATGTGGTTCTTAGTCCACTGCTATGAGGACCAAGGGAAAATCGAAGATGCCCTAAATATGTGTGAGGATGTAATCCAAATCGTCAGCAACTTTGGAGGAGAAGGACTAGGCCAGCAGCACAAACTCTGGCAATCTCTGAAGGAAAAGAAAGAGGAGCTACTGAAGCTCAAGGAGCAGGATCAGAATCATGTCGTTGTTGATAGCGCGGATGTCCCGTCAACATCTGCATCAGCGATACTACTCAAGAAAGTGGTCAAAGACTTTACTTTCTAGTAGATAATAGTAATAATACCCAGTTTTGTATATATACCAGTAATATGCAATGAAGCTCACCGATGGACTTCTGTGGCTTCTCCTTTTCATTCCATACATATACAGGTAACCTTGGAAGACATGGATTATAATGGTTCTGGCAATAGATCCCGCGCCCCCTTGCTAAGCAGCATATTTGCGACTGAGACACCGAGTTGCTCTGCTTCGTCGTCGCACTGGACAGTGGTCACATCCTCAGAAGAGATCTCCGACGTTCCTTCTATGTGAATAATCGTAGCTCGCAGGCGAAGAGTGCCGCTACCAGGGCCTTGTTGCGCATCTAGGGCCTCAAAAGAAGACCAAACGCCAATTGAAGATGAACATCCCCCTTGAAGACTCCGTAGCATCGCCCTCTCTGCCATACCGCGCCATCTCGACGGCTTATGGTCGACAAGTTGGACAAGCTGCAGGATGTCTTGACGGTCTGTGCTGAGCTCGATACCGAGAGCGCCTTGCCCAACCGCATACGGGAATATGGTAGGTTCTAGCCGTTGCGTTATTCGATGGCCGAGTCCTAGACGTACTAGTCCTGCGGTGGCTAAGAGAATGCATGAAAACGGCGAAGAAGGTGCGTCAAGCTTGGCAAGGCGAGTGTCTCTAACATACTTATTAGATCATGCCCATTCTATAGATAGACAGACGTAGTGGGTAGTATCAAAAGAACACCAATCAAAATACTTACAAGTTGCCGCGACATTCTAATACCTCCAAATGAGGCCAATTCCGCCGAACTAGAGCTCTTCTCCTCGAAGAACTCGATCCAACTACGGAGCCGGGCGGTAATTGATCGATAGATTTGATAACCGAGTCGGATCTCATTACGACCGCATCAGAACAGTCCTCACGCTCAGGGATAGCTCCTAGGAGACAGTTCGGTGGCAGTGTTGTCGGCATGTCCTTTAAACAATGGACAAGAAATTGGACCTTACCAGCCGCCAATTCCATTTCAAGGCCATTCGTCCATAGGCTTTTGCCAATGTCTGATCCACCCGTCTGCTTAGAGAGAAGCATGAAGGGCGACTGCTTATCTGCATCGCCAGCGACGCTGCTTGTGGCGATTTCAAAGCTCGGGGAGGGGTCGAGTTTTTGGCTCAGCTCTGATATAATGGACCGAGTTTGAGTGAGTGCAAGCTCCGATTTACGACAGCCAACAACAATTTCAGAAGAGTGAGGAGATGAGATGCCTTCTGTCTCATGCGGCTTAGAGCCGCTCGGTTTGAGGCTCATGTTGGCGAGAGACGAGAAGCTACTTTTTCATCATGTTCGAGGTTGGAAATCGCGACGTTGTGCGATATCGATAACACGTGACTCCAAATATCCCTGCTGTAGTCTCGGAGACTATGCCTGTTATATATATATATATTGCTGCAGCGACAATCGGATGTTTCATTTGTTCCAATCGTCCTAGTTTAGTGGATATCACGTGACTGCTCTCGAAAGGAAAGTTGGTGGTATTGAGGGGGAACTCTAATTATGTATGGCGTTCTTAGATCAATCCGTGTAAGTTCTTCCAAACTGTTCAAGAACAGATAACCTTAGAATTTTAATGAGGGGTGAGTATAGTCCGGAGTACTTCGCCTATACTCCGAGATCGCTAAGAGTGGGGTCGAAGTCTTAAATTCGAATTGGCCAATGAAAATCGCTGTACGTAATTCGATTGGGGGGGTCAATTGGAGTCTCCCACTTCTTCGGCCAAAAGAGTCAATCACCGACGATCGATGGGGTTCGATCGAGTTGAGCGATTTTAACGTTTTAACGTTTTTATTTGATGCGGCTTCCGGCGTTTGAATCGAAATTCTAATATTTCAAGGTCCTTCTCAGACATTTCCCCAAATCTCCCCAACAGCCTACATCATCATCGTGGCTCACCGTGAATGAATTGACGAATTAATGCCTTGAATTCGATATCAGCCGACCTTGGACTTATCGATCATTGAGATTACGACCGCAATCGCAAGTCACGAGCCAAACGATACGAACCACAACAATCGGAAATTGCCATTCACCATGATATCTTCCGGCCTGAACCCTCATCTCAGCACAGGACACACCAAAATGGCCACTCCAGTGCTGGAAGAAGCCAAAGCCGAAGAAACGGCCCAAGAGTCGCGCGTTCTAATCATCATGACAGGCGGCACAATCTGCATGCAGCCCTCACCAGCCGGCTTCATCCCAGCGCGCGGGTTCCAAGAAAAATGCATGGCGCGGGTGCCAAGCTTCAACGACGGCTCGGACAGCGCAACAATGGACGTGGTTGTCAACGCCGCGCGCGAAGTTAAAGAACACCCCAGCCTACGCACACCGATGACAGCCTACGGGCGACAGGTGCGGTATACAGTTTTCGAGTTCGAAGAACTGCTCGACAGCAGCTCGATCGACGCAAAGGGCTGGACTCAGATCGCCGAGGCGATCGAGCGGAATTATACGCTCTTCGACGGATTCGTTGTCCTCCATGGAACCGACAGTCTGGCGTACTCGTGCTCGGCGCTCAGCTTTATGCTGCAGAATCTCGGGAAGCCGGTTGTTCTTACTGGATCGCAGGCGCCTATGCTTGAACTACAGAATGATGCTACGGATAATCTGCTCGGGTCGTTGGTTGTTGCGGGCCATTTCATGATTCCCGAGGTGTGTTTGTATTTTAATAATCGGTTGTTCCGCGGAAATCGGACGACGAAGGTTGCGGCGAGTGATTTTGCTGCGTTCGATGCGCCGAACTGTGCCCCGTTGGCGGTTACGACATCTATGCGGACTAATGTTAATTGGGATATGGTGCATCGTCCTACGAGCTTGGCGCCGTTTAGTATTCAGACAAATCTGGATACTACTCATGTTGCTTGTCTGCGTATTTTCCCCGGTATCAAGCCGGAGATGGTGGATGCGGTGCTGAAGCTGGATGGCTTGCGCGGGTTGATTCTCGAGACGTTTGGCGCGGGCAATGCGCCCTCCGGTCAGGATAATGCCATGATCAACGTCTTGGCCAGCGCTATCCAGCGGGGTATTGTTATCGTGAACATCACGCAATGTGAGTTATGCCCAACGGCTTGGCACCCCGATATAGGGTAAGGGTATCCGACTGACATATCCTCTAGGCCTCACGGGCAGCGTCAGTCCAGTCTATGCCACAGGCATGAGTCTCTCCCGAGCAGGTGTCGTAGCCGGCCTCGACATGACAACCGAGGGAGCATTGACGAAGCTCGCCTATCTCCTCGCCCTACCCGAATCGACACCCGAATCTATCGCCAGACGCATGTCAGTATCTCTCCGAGGCGAGCTGACCGAGTCATCATTACCTATCTTCCGACACCCGGACGGCGCCCTCCCCGAACGCATCCAGACACTCACGTCGATGGGGTATGCGATTGCCCACGGCGACCTGGAGAAGGTCCAAGCCATCACCAAGACCGAACACCACTGGCTCCTGAACGACGCCGACTATTCCGGCAACACGCCCATCGTAAGCATCATCCCATGTCACCCGTTCCCGTCCCAAACCACTCCACTATCTCCCTCGTCCTTATCTTGCACATATTAACCCAACGCAGCACCTGGCAGCAACCTCCCCGTCAATCGAAATCCTCCACTTCCTCCTATCGCAAGGCGGCTCCGTGCACCTCCGCAATCGTGCCGGCCGCACCCCGCTCTTCCTGGCCGCGAACGCGGGTCTTTCCGAGCACACGCTCCTCCTCCGCAAATCTGGCGCTCACCTGCATTCAGATGAGCGACCAGCCGCCGAGCTACTGGCACGTCATCGTCCCTTCGTTTGGGGTATGGCTGGTGTTGGGCCGAAAGAGATCAGCCAGCGGGAGATGGAGGAGGATGTTGGTAAGAACCGGGTGATTCCTGGGTCGGCGCCTTCTTAGGTAGGCGTTTTGTTTTTTTCTTTATTTTTTTCCGTGGGGTTTCGGGTCGAAGGTTAGGCTCAGACGGCCCGGGCTGAGATGGGTTGGGCATTGTGTCGTATGCTTCCTTGCTTTATGTAGGATTGTTTGCTTGCCTACGGAGTATAGTTTGTGGAGATATGAATGTCTCTTTTCTTTTTCGGGGGCATTGGCCTCCGGGTAAGCCTGGGCTTTGCGTCGGTGACATGCAGTATAGAATAATAGACATAGAGTACCCTCGGGTTTATTCTGACGCCATTTTGTTTATGTCGCACATTATCTTCCGAAGACTCCATTCTCCATTTCGATCACGCCAGAATCCCTGTCCTACTTTGCCTTCTTCCACGGTTAGCTGTGGCACCAGGTAATACGGAATTTCATCCGCGGAGATCGGCCCCTGCCGTAGCCGGGATGCTGCCACTAAGTGGGGAAGATAAGGACGCTTTTCTCCTTTTTTTTCCTGCTTTTTATTTTTTTTTACTGGTTTCTGGGGTTCATGTTGTATTTGGACAGGGCTGTAACTACCAAGGTAGAAGGTGATGGATACATATTGTTCTAGATTGTATAGTTCTTAAAGTAAAAAGGGGGGAAATACTCCAACTCTCTTTTATGGTGGGGTCTGCATGTTTTTTTGCTTTTTTCTTCTCTTTGCTTTTTCTTATACCCACATCGTACAACATAATAGGTATAAGAGTACAACATACACTCATATCATTCTCAAGCATATTGCCTCATGGATCTGGAAAATAGTCTCATATGTGGCTGAAATGCAAGGATGATGTGATGGGCTCTGGGAGGATTTGCGGGGTTAACCGCATATGAGACTACCTAGGTATACCTAGGTACATGTAATTTCAGACTAATTTCCTAATTGCTAAAAAGGTACTCCGGTATGTAGGTACCTTGTTTGGAGGTACCTTGTTACCCTGTCCAATGGACGTATCGGGTGAAATGGCAAGTCGGACATGGCCAGTGTAGCACGTCAACTTGTGCCAAGGCCCCAACGCCGCCATTGAAGCACTAGCCCACATCCTGGAGCAGAGATACGATATATACACCACGTGAGGCTGTCCCTGGCAGACAGTTGGTGGAAGAGGAAGTTCTTGACGATGTACGGAGTAGTGGTATGAAGTCACCTGCGCGATTTAGCTGTCCTGGTTTAGGCAGTATTTTCCCTATTTTCCTTGGGGGTTCCGATTTCCGATATTTGATTTAAAGCTTGGCATCGATGTATAGATGTATAGATGTATATAGACGTCTATAGAGGGATAGATACCTACATGTAGGTATATAGATGTGATAGAATAGAATTGAGACAATGTACAATATAACAAGTCCAAACTAAATCCCGAATCAGGATCTTCCCGTGCTGCCGAAAATGTCCCAGGTGTGGTGCCGATTTACGTAAAACCTGTGGACGAGACCGCACTGTGGATTTTTTCTTTTTTTTCTTTTTTTTTCTTTCTCTTCTCGTTCAGGTTTGGTTAATGGATTTGTTCTATCTGGATATATCACACATATTAGAATGGGAATTTCAATATAGGAACATTGAAGTCAAGGAAGTGTATACAATATAGAGTATAGTTGTCTATAAAATGAATTCTTATCTTATCCTTTTTCGTCTCTTTGCGTTTTCGGGAGTGGAATAAGATTTTTTTTTATAGAATTTTTTTTAAAAATACTTAGTATTTTTCATTTTATTTTATTAATTGCAGATCAGAAGGTCAATTTGGAGAACTCCTGACTGTTCCAATCGCATAATTTAGGTCTGATCACGATTCTTGTTACATACAACTTTCCAACCTCTACCCCACCATCGCAAAGCCCTTCTCGCCAAGGCTTACTCCAGATTTCTCTTTTATCTCTCCTCCCCTCTCTGATAAACTTCTTCCCTCTATACTTCCCTCTCTATCCTCTCCCCGATCAACCCGGATGACACAACCGCAGAAGACCATTGCCGTGGTCAACGGGACAGGCCGACAAGCGGCCTCGTTGATCCGTGTCGCGTCCGCCGTGGGGTACTCAGTACGCGCGCAAATCCACTCCCTGAAAGGCGTGATCGCACCAGAACTCCAACAACTTCCCAATGTGACGCTGCTGCAAGGCCCGCTCCTCGGCAACATCGCCCTGATGGACGAGCTCTTCAAAGGCGCCCAGCTCGCCTTCATCAACACCACCTCCCAGTCCGGCGACGAGGTCGCCATCGGCCGCGATCTAGCAGACGCCGCAAAGCGATCCGGCACCATCCAACACTACATCTATAGCAGTATGCCGGATCATTCCGTTCACGGTCCCTGGCCCGCCGTCCCTCAGTGGGCTCCCAAGTTCACAGTCGAGAACTACATCCGT